ACCTAGTAAATGAAAAAGATTGTAAAGCATACTCTGTAAAACTCTATAGTTACATCATACTTGCTGAATTAACAGTTAATTAATTTACTCATAATACAAAGTGTAATAGTCACTTGAGTAGCGAGCAGTGTTTAAGAGTTTAGATTGCAAACAAAACAAGTTAAAACAACCAAATAAATAAGTCCACATTGACATTTTTCAATTAACTGTCATCTGTCATTTGTCATATTATGTACTTTTGCGTAAAGGTGGCATTATACTTGTCGTTGCGTATTTTTGTGTTCGGCCAAAACAAACCAAAACCATGTGTGGAGGGTTTATTCATCTTCATTTGCTATATACATATATTTGCACGCTCTTACATTTATAGATACTATTTGGACGCCATTAGTACGTAGTTCACAAATATTTGTACAAATGAAGCGAATACGCAATGGCAAGTGTAAATCCGCCTTTACGTACCTTTTGCACATTTTCAAAGTGAGGCTCCGTTATAAACGAATTAAACATTATCAAAACAGTTGTTTTATTTAACAAACGACAATTTGTTTTTGTCTATAACAACGTAAATAAACACCTTCCGATGAAAGGTTATTCCAGGTATTTTCTTATAGCTATTGCTGTCACATCGGTACGCACTGCACTTTACCATTTTATTTTAGATTATTTAAATCTATCGTTACTAATATTAATTGTTTTACTCGTAGACAAGGACTTATCCCTATAAAATTTCACCGGAAGTCTTCGTTATTGATCTGGCAATTATAATTAAACATGTTTTCGGTGGCTTTCATAACTACCTACTTGACTAAATTAAAATGTTACTTGTTATTATAGGTTGAAATATTTGAAACACAAAATACGAGAAACATCCATTATTTTATTATGTACTGTTTTGAAGTTTTAGTTGGCATCCCCAATGCTTGTATAAATATAGTGGCAACACTGGTTTAAATTTGTCATTTTCATTTGTCAATCAGTGTCATACTTAGTGATGTGCCGAGTCGTCGTTTTGGTGGATCGAGTTGACTCGAGTCAGTTTACAAGGTATTCGAATCATGACTCGATTCCCTCGACTCGAATTCTATGTTTGGTATTCGAATACTGATTCGAGTCCGGCTGGACTCGAGTCGGTATTTCAATTCCGGCTGAACTCGAGTCAGTATTTCAATTCCGGCTGGACTAGAATCAACCCTCATTACCGAGTCCTTTCTTCCTAATGTTGTGGTTGGCATCGACCTCAAAAGAAACATTGTTCATATCCGATTATGAAGAAACCCACGCTTTATGAATTTGAATATTTATGTATCTAAGTTATTATTTATCCCTTTTCAGTTATTTCGTTTGTGTTTTGAAGTTCGTTAAATTTTGTTTAAATTACTTTTTAATGAAAGATAATTAAAAACATTAAATAAAAACATAGAGCGTAGGAGTCTGGAGTTCTATAGAGATAAACAAAAAACCATAATAGAACATAATCAAATTTATTCAGGTCGTAGACTCTAGATACTATTAATTGTTTCTTGGTCATTTGAGATAGCTTGAAACAATCATATAGATCTAAACACTAGATAGATACTATTTAGGTAAAAATAGTAAGCATTAAAATTTACATCAGCAAATCATTTTAATTTTACAAAAAATGGGTACATAAACTCAATAGCTCAGAATACGACATTTAGGAAGGTATCTATCGAAGCTACCTTAACTGTACTTACAGTCAATACCGTACATAACTAAATCTATATATATAAAAGAAAGTCGTGTTAGTTACTCCACTTATAACTCAAGAACGACTGAACCGATTTAGCTAAAAAATTAGCAGGGAGGTAGTTTAGAGCCAGGAGAAGGACATAAGATACTTTTTATCCCCTTAGAAAGCATTCCCGTGTGAATTGAGATTAAACGTAAGGTACTATGAAACTTGGTATAACAAAAAAGAATCAGACTTGGAACCTTGGAACAAACGCAAATGACAGCTATGTAATGACGTATGGATGACAATATAGATGGTGAAAAGACAATTTGACATGTATTTGTAAGAAATAAATAATAAAAATATTGCCCATTCGTATAAATAAACAGTGAAGTGAACTATAAAAATGGGTTTAATTAATAATGCCGCGACCAAGACGATCTAATCTTTCCCGACAAAGCCGTGAAGCAAAAAGAAAACGAAATAATAATGAGTATTTTTTTTTGTATTTTTGCCAATTAAAAAAACCGTTTATTTATTGCCACTAAGGCGGAACAAAGTTCGCCGGGTCAGCTAGTTAATATATAAAAAACAAAATAAGACAATAAAAGTTATTTAAAATAACTATTCAAAAAAAGGATTTGGTCAATCTTCTTGGCCTCCAGTCTATTGCGGCGTTGGTTGCATAAAAGTCCAGCCTTGGAGAAAACTCGTTCCGAAGGCACAGAAGTGGCTGGAATACATAAATACTTTAAAGCTTTTATATAGGCCGCGGTGGATTTTGCGAAGTTCCCAAAATTCGAGTGGATTGGCTTTTCTATCCAAATACGGTAGCTCTACATACTGCTTCACCTTAATAATTGCTGATGTTGTGGGGTTTTCCTTGCTTGAAAATTCCAACACTCTTTTATCTAGATACTCCCATAAATTGTCACCAGTCACCTCTGAAGTTATCTGCTGGGAATCTGAAGATGAAGTTGTAGGTGGTTCGAGACTTGAAGTAGATGGCAGTAGAGATCTATTTGGCACGGTCTGCAATTGAGCTTGAGATTCCTGTGTTTCCAATATCATCAACTCGTCAACAACAAATTTTTGAGCATTATCTGCTTTTGTCTCGACGCCAAAACCAGCTTTCTTAAATCTTGGATCCATGAATGTTGCTTTAGCAACAGTTTTGTTTGTCTCATGACCGCTAAATCTTCTTTCGAAAACATCTAGTAATTTTATCTTTAATCTGCTAGCGACTTCGGAATCAGATCTGCAACTTCTTAGTGCTGTTTGTACGCCTCGAATAAGAGGTATAATGCAGGATAACGTTGGATATTGCTCGCCAGATATAATACCCGTCATTTGTTCCACAGGTTTTAACACGCAAAGGCACTCATGCACCTCGGTCCATTCGTCAGCGTTAAGATTATCTGGACAGCCAGGTAATGAAGAGATTGCAGCAGAAAGAGGTATCTTGATCTTTTCGAGACGTTCCAGCATATAATACACCGAATTCCATCTCGTCTGGACATCTTGTTTTGGTTTTAAGGGTTCCAGTTGCATTTGTTCTTGAACCTGTTTTAATTTATATGCAGCATTATTGCTTCTTTTGAAATAGGCTACTATTGCTCGGCACTTTTCAATCAATCGAATTAATAGTTCATTGTCTTTGATGGTATCTTGAACCGTGAAAGTATGAGCTGCACAACTGTGGTGACGTTTTTGCAAAATATCAATTACAGCCTTTTTTATATTAGCCGCATTATCAGTTGTAACGCAAATGATTTTGTCCAAAATGTTCCATTCGGTTTCACATATATCTTTCATTTCTCGAGCTAAATTTTCTGATGTATGGGTATCCTTAATTTCCCTGGTAGATAACGTTAAAGTTTTAAATTTACCGTCATAAATGAAATGAATCGTCAGGGTCATGTAACTTTTGCTGCTATCGGAAGTCCACAAGTCTGTTGTCAAAGCAATGTAATCTGTTACTTTAAGCATCTCTTGCGTAGCCTTTCTTGCCAAAGAATATTGCTCCGGAATTAATTTTTCCGAAAGAATCTTTCGTGAAGGTAGCTCATAATTAGGGTTAAGCGCACGAGTATACTCTTGAAAACCTTTATTTTCAACGACTTGAAGCGGTTGAAAATCAACACACACCATTCTTAGTAACGCTTTATCCACATTTTTGGAGTTCACCTTCATAGCTTGCTTAGACGGAAAAGTCATCTGAAGTTGCCGTTTACGTGGTGGTGGTACTAGTGGTGTTTCGCCATCTGTCATTGACTGGAATAGATTAGAGTTCTTGTCCTCGTTGACTGGCGTTTGATCTTCAGAACCAGAAGCTACACTTAATAAATCGGAATCACTTTGAGCGGGGGGAATCGCTGAAGAATTTTCAACCTGAGTCGAGTAAATAATAGGATGAGATTTTTTTAGGTGCTTTAACAAATTAGTTGTGTTTTTGAAATCTTTAAATACGGAGTCACAGTTTTTGCACTTTATTTTATCGTCGTTCACTTTCTCAAAACACCTCCATACACCTGAGGTTTTTTTCGGCGCCATTATATAAAAACTAATAGAAATCACTTCACTTCTACTATTAAAAAACTTAGACACAAAATAACTCGGTACTTAGACACAAAATAACTGCTAACTGACAGAAAACAAACAAATCAAAACAAAAAGGTGCAGGTTCAAACTTGTTTGTATTGTTAGAACCGCGCCACTTCATTGCTTAAGTAAACAGTTTGCGAGTACAAGCGAGTTAACAATACTCGTATACTAGACTCGAGTTAGTTGGACTCGCATAAATAGAATCGAGTTAGCAAGTACAAATCGATTCTTCCTGACTCGAGTACCGGAATCGAGTCCGGTGTACTCGAATCAAAATAAATTGGTATTTGAGTAAGTGAGTCCAAAGCAGGAATCGAGTCTGACTCGAGTCAAACCGTACTCGGCACATCGCTAGTCATACTGTCATTGTAATAGAACGTGGAGTAGCTAGCCGGCGTACCGCGTTTTGTAAAATAATTTACTACCTATATTTCCGAAATTCTATTTTTGAGAATTTACCATTTACCACGCCAAGTTTACCGAAAGAAAAAATTACTCACATGGAGATTATTATTTAACTTAACAACAAATTTGAAGAGTTAAAACAAACACCACGTGTGCGATTTTGTTCTACAACACATACTTGGATCGTATATCAAGCTTCAAGTTTCATAAAAGTGAGTGGCACATAATATACAGTGTCACATACTCGTGATTATACATTCGTTCTACATCCTATAATTCGTACGTGCCAATAATAATGTCCAGCAAAGGCGACGTTGATCTCCGCGATGGGCTCTCCGCAGCACAGATCTTCGAGAACCGTGAGGGGTTGACTTACAATGATTTCCTTTTGCTACCCGGATATATAGATTTCACTGCTGATGAAGTAGATCTAACCTCGCCTCTTACAAAAAAAATTAACCTGAAATCGCCGCTAGTTTCCGCGCCTATGGACACCGTGACTGAAGCCGACATGGCGATAGCGATGGCGCTGTGTGGCGGTATCGGCATCATCCACCACAACTGCACTCCAGAGTACCAGGCCAATGAAGTACACAAAGTGAAGAAGTACAAGCATGGCTTCATTAGGGACCCTGTTTGCATGGGCCCTGAAAATATCGTGGCTGATGTTCTCGAAGCTAAGAAGAAAAATGGTTTTACTGGATACCCTATCACTGAAAATGGCAAACTGGGAGGACGCCTAATTGGTATAGTCACTTCCAGAGACATTGACTTCAGGGAAAACGACCCACAATTAAGTCTCAAGGAAGTTATGACACCCATTCATGATATGATAACCGCTCAGTCTGGTGTTACTTTACAAGATGCAAATTACATCCTGGAAAAGAGCAAGAAAGGTAAATTGCCAATTATCAATGGAGATGGTGAGCTAGTGGCCCTCATTGCTCGAACAGACTTGAAGAAAGCTCGCAGCTATCCTAATGCTTCCAAGGATTCTAACAAGCAGCTTTTAGTGGGAGCTGCAATTGGCACTCGCGAAACTGACAGAGAACGCCTCAAGTTGCTGGTCAACAATGGAGTAGACGTGATAGTCCTAGATTCATCACAAGGTAACTCAGTATATCAGATTGAGATGATCAAGTACATTAAAAAGACCTACCCTGAGATACAAGTTATTGGTGGCAATGTTGTGACTAGAATACAAGCCAAGAACCTTATTGATGCTGGTGCTGATGCCCTGAGAGTTGGAATGGGTAGTGGCTCTATCTGCATAACCCAAGAAGTGATGGCATGTGGCTGTCCTCAAGCTACAGCTGTGTACCAAGTGTCATCCTATGCTCGCCAATACAATGTACCAGTCATTGCCGATGGTGGTATCCAGTCTGTAGGCCATATCGTCAAATCATTAGCATTGGGAGCTACAACTGTCATGATGGGTTCTCTACTGGCTGGAACATCTGAAGCCCCTGGAGAATATTTCTTTTCTGATGGTGTCAGGTTGAAGAAATACAGAGGTATGGGCAGCTTAGAAGCTATGGAAAACAAAGATGGAAAGGGAGCTGCAATGAGCAGATATTTCCACAAGGAATCCGACAAACATAGAGTAGCACAGGGAGTGAGTGGTAGCATCGTAGATAAGGGCTCAGTCTTGCGCTTCCTGCCATACTTACAAGCGGGAATGCAACACAGTTGCCAAGATATTGGAGCTCGATCAGTCACCATTTTACGGGAAATGAGCTACTCTGGAGATCTGAGATTCATGAAGAGGACTTACTCCGCCCAGTTAGAAGGAAATGTACACAGCTTGTTCTCCTATGAGAAACGGTTATTCTAATTTAGTGTCTCAAAGGCAAAAAATAACCCAATATATTATGTATATCTGAATATAAGAAAAGATCTAGTTAATTTTTGAAGGAAAATCAATTTATTATATTATGTAAGACTATTGTAACTAGGTGTTAAAATATAATATTATATAAGCATAAAATGTGTTATCCACTGCAACAGAGTATTCCATTTTATATGTTATGTGTAAATAAATAAATGAAGTGTGAATTGAAATAGTTGTTCATTTATAAAACTGCATATAGAAAACTGGCAAATTAAAATACACAACAGAATTTGGTACACATTCATATACACATATTTATATACATACATAATAAAAATGTTAACAAGATTATCCATTTATCTTGTTAACAAGACAATGTTACCTTACAAGGCTTCTTGACAAATCAAATTAATCTGTTATAACCGTTCAATACAGGATAATACTAAATTAAATGAATCTTGTACCTACGTATATTGAGGCAAGAACCTAGTAAGTAGCAGAAACTAAAATCTCACGCCTTTGTCCACGGCAACAAGGATGACGGGGTATGAAAATTAAATATCTATTTAGTCCGTCAGTTTGGTAACGAAAAAATATTAGACACGTAACGTAAAATGGGGTGGATAGGGATCAAGAGGTGAATGGAGACAGAAGAGGGGTGAATAGATATTGGGAAATTCTTTCGACATTTTTTACGTAACAAATAGAATACTCGGTTTTTAATTGATCCATTTATTAATCCTGTCTACGAACAACAATAATTTTAGAGGATAGGACAGCAGAAAGTAGTCCTATACTTTTATCCTAGTGCGTTAGAAAATTTTAGCTGGATGTTTGACCGACCTTTCATTATTGTGTACCTACTTGAAAATCTTGGGTTATCCGGAAATCTCGGGGTCCTAGCTAAAAAATAACAAAATGTTCGGAACCCCCTATAGTTTTAAACCCCCAGCGAAACCATGAAGAATGGGGTGGGAATGATAATATTTTGGAATGGACCCATTTATAAAATATTATGGCATCGAGACGTCCTAATATGACTTTGAAAATATTATGTTAATTGTAAGCTCAAGTGAAATGTAGGTACATTAGTAAGGTGATAAATAAAAACAACAAATATTCTAATAATCACAATTTATTGGAATTATAAATGCACAAGCTGCGCAGGCATGATTATTTTAATTTGATAATAAATATCATAAAAGTGCTAAATAACTTAATAAAATTATATGTGCTACAATCTATGATTTAGACTGGTGCGTCCAAAAATGTTATATTCTTAACATTTTAAACTGCATCCTAGCTAGCAATACTACCGCTGCTCGTAGGTACTGTTATCATTTTCAATAATACTCCTTTGACTTAAAACCCAAATACTGGCGAATTATACATTTGATCTGTAGAGAGCGCAGCAACCACGTGGTAATACAAATATATCTTAAATACCTAGTGATGATATCAAGTCAGTATTACACTGGTCTTCAACAAGATCTCGGCGTCATGTTGGCTGAGTAACTATTCGTATCGATTATAATAATTGTTAGCCTCAAAGTGCTTTAAGTTGATCTTGCTGACTATATCAAGACAACCCAGCTGATAAAGTGTACCCTGCCTGACGAACCACAGATAGACGCAGGAAGTGACCGGCCAAGTCTCGTTTGATAACACGGTTATAAAAAGCTACCAAAACTAGGTACACATTCGTTTATAAGTTCAAACTATCAAAGCGATAAGATTGATGAGTTATCTGTTATTATTGAATCAAACACTGAGGCAGACTTAGCCGGCCACAATTTCCGATAAGCACACTCGTAAAATCTGAGTTCATGCTGTAACGACGTCTGTGTCTTACTTTCTCAATCCTAACGCACCAGTCGGAATGCACGAAGTCAAGCGACCAAAGCGTATAAATCTTACTGAGATTACATCTTAGCTGAATTCAGCACGTTTCAGCGTGTTTTATAGTATTTGGAAATATTGATATGGACTTAAATTAGAGCAAAAAAGTTGTGGACCTAGGAAACAGTGGACGCCTCGGTATATGGATACGAAGCATGATGGTGCGGATGCGATTAGCGAAGTTTGTTCAGTAGATATGTATGCGGAGGCTATTCGGTGTTGGTATAAACTGGGGTTATCCACATTTTCTAGGACCATGGAAGCACGGGAACTCGCTCAAACGTGCTGATGTTGATTAAAACGCTGCACGTGGCATGAAGCGCCTACTCCTTGGGTGCGTCTCCGTCGGCCTCGTCGTCGTGCTCGCGCTGGAACTCCGGCCCGTGCGTCACGTCGTCCTCGAACACGATCTCCTCTGGGTCGGGAGCGCGCGGCAGGAATTCCTCGCCTGGACAGATCTTCTTGAAGATCTGCTCCGCCTACGACAATAACACAACTTATGTATTTAAGATAAACATATTCACACATAAGTGAGGCTTTCACATAACTGGGTATATGATATTTAACTAAAAAAGAAATTGAGTTTCTTCAATCCCATACTAAAATCTTTGTTCTGTTTGATTGAGTGTATAAGGCGCTATCTAAGAATGAATTGCACCACAATTTCATTGAACCCACCATGTGTTCAGTATATTAATCTATAAACAAATATAATTATGTTTACATTAGTCAATCACTAACTGTTTTTAACATTTATTAGAAACACGCACGAGATAACCCATACCTAACCAAAGATAACCACAAAAAATATAGGTAAGTAGCTACAAGAGGTACACGGGAGCTAACTGTGCCGTGTAAAGTATTTAGGTTCCGTAATAAATTAACCTTTTTTTATACTGCAAAGAACATTTATAATACTTTCTGCTCAATTTTGTTTTCATACCTAGTTTATTTTTGCTAAAATCAGGATGAGGATGAGTATATCTCATACAGAAAATTGGGTTTACGACCAAATGAATCAGCTTATACACAGTGTAACACTTCAAGATAAGCTGATTTATATAAATGATATTCTATAATAAGTATAGTTAAGATATTTATTATGTCGAAATACTCAAACGCTACTAAATTTTAAGCACTAAGTTTTAAGTATCGTTCTGACACAAAAAAAATTTTGTAAAATTACAGACATTTTTTTTTAATGAGGGAAAATCATTAAATGACTGCTCCCGCCTGGGTGAGGCGGAAGGGAGTGTCAGACTCTTACTGACTAAAAACCACCCCGTTCCTTTTCCTGCACGCCGAGCCGGAGCCCCGGTTACCCGTTAGGTATTTAAGTACAACAAGTTGAGTACCATTTCAGTATTCGTATGTTAAAGGTATATATAACAAGCAATTAGCAAACATGTTGTATCCATCCATAACACCTACTGGCATCGGCAAGTGTGTTCCAGTTGCTTAAGGCTCCAGCAAATGAATTTAATGCATACAAATCCAATGTGAATGAATGTGCATTTTTTTATGTAATAAGCCGGTAAAGGCAGATCACCTGATGGTAAGCAATCGGCGTCGCCTATAGACACCCGAAACACCAGGGGCATTACAAGTGCATTTTATGAATTTGAGGATTGTGCGATTCGGGGATTGGGAAGACCGGTGAGCGGTGGGGGGGGGGTAACGTTCAGTTTTCTGTAAGGCCGTGCTATCACTCCAGTCGAGCCGGCCCATTCGTGCCGAAGCAAATTTTTAAAGGCACTTAGAAATGTGAATTTGATACAAAGGTTTTATTGAAATGAACCCTAAAGATAGAGTTACACAATCTATTGAATAACGAAAAACAATAAACAGTGTTACATATTTATGATTAATGTTTGACGGAAATAATTTATTATAATTGTGTTTTGGGTTACTATAGTTCTCTTATCATGTTTCACTCTATGATAAGAAAATTATTAAGAGTAAGGTATTATCTAACTAACATAAGTAGTATCTAAATATAAGAAACTATTTTATTTGTTTCCTTTGGTAGATAATTAATCATAATGACTAATTTAATTAGCATTTTGTCATTGATCTTGAATGCAAACTATAGTGTTTACAACTCCTACAACGAAATAACATAATCAGTAATTTAAACGCATCTATGTTATGACCTAATATTTCATTTAAGTTTATAAACCTTTGCAAAACGTTATTATTATACTTTGATTAAATAATTCAGACAGAAAGAATTAACAATAGGTTGTATTTTCAATCGATTAAAACAATTCAAAACAATAGCATATTAATACTAAATCAAATCAATGTTTGTGTGAAATGAAATTTTATTTTCATTAAATAGTCATCAGTAAAGATATTTATATTGAAGATAAGAATGCTTGTTGCTTGGCAGCATGTTGGTCCGGCTCCATTGGACAATACTCAAGCACAGTCAGTAAATTCCAAGAATTAATTTATGTCTTGATTTCAATGTAATTTATATATCTTATGGCATGAAGCATTTCTCTTTAGATTTCAAAGTTTGAAACAAAGATTTTGATTTATATGTATAGAAGCATTTAATTTAAATTGTAAGTGTACATGTGTAGGCACCATGTTTGAGAGTCTTCTTTAGATGTTTTGACACTATATTGAAGTGTATTGACGTTACGTTGTTCTCACATATATAATATACAATAGGTAAGGATCATATAATGTACTAGCCACTTCCGCGTGGTTTCACACGCTCTGCTCAGCTCCTATTGGTCGTAGCGTGATGTTTTATAGCCTATAGCCATCCTCGATAAATGCGCTATCCAACACAAAAAAACAAACTCTTCAGCTTTATAATATTAAGTATAGATTAATTCAAATTGTAAGTGTACAATGTACATGTGTGGGCACCATGTTTGAGACAATCGTCTTTAGATGTTTTGACACTGTATTGCCGTTACGTTGTTCTTACATATATAATTATAAGGTAAGGATCATATAATGTATTTGTGAGATAGTAAAAAACATAACATAACATAACATCACGCCTTTTATCCCCGAAGCGGTAGGCAGAGGTCTACATTATGCCACTGTACAATGTAAAACCTACTTTTCACTATTTATGTTATGAGTCCCATGTAATAGGGAGTGAGCCTATTGCCATATACCGGGCACAATTCCAGACTCTGTGGTGCTACTGAGATTTTTTTAAAAAGCCCAGTAATACGTGCCCGATCCGGGAATCGGAGCCGAGACCCCTTGCCCGGCAGTCACACTTGCGACCACTCGGCCAACAAGGCAGTCAATAGTAAAAAACATTTTTTGAAAAGAGTACGATGGAGTTTCTTGCTCGTTTATCTCCATTTGAAACTGCACTTTGGAACGAGCGCCTAGCTTCACTAACAATTAAATTAACCTAATCAAGGATTAATTGAAATAAATGCTTTGACTTTGACTTTGAAATCAGACTTAGCTATAAAGGAAGAAATTCGTGAGCAACTAGTTTAAAGAATGGCTCTAATTAAGTATTTAATTAGGCATTATGAATTGGTGTCATGGGTAAGCATTTTGACCTTTGAGTATTTAATTGACTAGGATCTGAACGATCTGCATCTGATCTGAACGACTGCCTCGTTGGCGGAGTGGGCGCAATTGCGACTGCCGGGCAATGGGGTGTCGGGTTCGATTCCCGGTTCGGGCAAAGTATTAACTGGGCTTTTAAAAATTCTCAGTGGTGGCACGGAGTCTGAGACCCCTTGCCCGGCAGTCGCACTTCCACTCGGTCAACGAGGCAGTCTATTCGATCCCAATTATTTCTAATACATAATATTTCACAATAATTGTTATTTTTATCATATATTTTACCTAATAACGTTGCTATCCGCGTGGTTATCGCCGAACATGTGAAGCCACGTGACTTGGATGCTCATATACACAGCCAGAGGTCAGGCCAATCAATCTAATTCCATTATATCAAAAATAAGAACCATGACTTATTAAAAGAAATATGTCCACTAACAAACCTATTAAAAAATTAAAAAAAAAAACAAATGTAATTAATTAATTAACTTAACCTTTCATGTGTTTAAACATGGATCCGAGCGAGACACAATGTATTTTCTATTGTGTCTCATATCGGTGCAATCAAGCGGTTAAAGGTTGTTTTAGTATTATAAATTCTCATTTAAGATATCCTTACTTATATTATAAATCGGAAAGTGAGTTTGTTTGTTTGTTCCGCTTTCACGACGTAACTACTGCACCGATTGCTTTGAAATTTTGCAGAGGTAAAGTTAGAAGTCTGGATTAAATAATAGGGTACTTTTTATCCCGGAAAAATTGATATTGATATTCCCGAGGGAAAACAAAAGAATTGGTATAGATGGCGCTATGTGTATTGGTATATGTCACATAGGCTACTTTTAATCTTTTTGTGACGCGAGCGAAGCTGCGGGTAAAAGCTAGTATAAAATAAGTATGATATTAATTTTGATGCCGACCATTTCATACAAAATAATATTTATATAGAAATGTATGAGCGTGAGGGTTGGAAACCTGGCAAGTGCCAATGTTTATATGTTCCTTCTAAGATTATTTAGACACCACTGACTAACGGTGAAGGAAAACATTGTGAGGAAACTGGGCTTATAATTTCTGATTATAAGTTTTAAATTGTCAACCCGCATTGTGCAAGCGTTGTGATTAATGGTCAATGCTTCTCCATGCAAGAAGAGACCTTTTGTCAGCAGTGGTCAGTCTTATGCTGATGATGTCACATTTTTTAAAATTTAAATAAAATATAATAACAGTTCAACTAACTAAACTCTGACGAACAATATAAACCATAATTCATCTCTAAACTTCATTTTAAAAAAAACGACGACAGGCCTCTTTTTTTAAGTCGGTTAAATAATATACTAAAACCTCTTAAGTGTAACGAACACCTTTATAAACAGCATCAAAATCAGTTTAACCGATCGCGAGATAATCGTACACAAATATACATATACATACTACAATATGTAACACAAACCCTGTTGTTCCTTTCAGGGACATATGTATACGTTTATCTACAAGCACATCATTAATGAAATAATATAATTAAAAAACATCATTGGGTAGTCGAGGTGTCAAAATCAAATATCTATTAAAATCTACCATATTCAAAAAATTGTTTATAACATCTGATTAAAAAAGTTAATAGGTACAATTTTTTATGTTGTTTATTCCTCATGCAGTATTGCAGAGGTAAGAAATCATTTAAACCTTACAAATTTTAATAATTAAATATTTAATTTAATTATTTTTGTTGAACAATTTTTATAAATGACTTGCTTTATTATGTCCGTATGTCGATTCTTAACACGTAGGTAGAAGGAACAACAGGTTTTTTTACATCTTATACTATTATATAAAGCGGAAGAGTTTGTTTTTTTGTCTGTTTGTTTGAATGCGCTAATCTCCGTAACTACAAGTCTGATTTGAATAATTCTTTTTGTGCTGGATAGTGCATTTTTCGAGGATGGCTATAGGCTAAAACATTACGCTACGACCAAAAGGAGCTGAGCAGAGCGTGTGAAACCGCGCGGAAGTAGCTAGTATTATATACAGGTCAGAAAACGAACGAAACGAACCAACTTTTTTAAATCGAGTAAAATGAAAGTATATAATTATATTTCATGGAACTTATGACATCACTGGCAAATAGTAGATCAGCCACACTTTATATATTAAACCTAAGTATTCGAGTATTAAAATATTCGAAATTATTAAGGCCACAATCCAATCGCTCTAATTGAATTCTTTCATGTTGGCCAGCAATAAAGTATAGTGGCGACAACAGGGAAACTAGACTCTAATTACTTAGCTAATAGGTCTATTCTCCTATCTCGAATCTACAGATGAAAGTTTCGCTTTATGAATATTATCTAGGTAGAAATGGATCGATATGCAGGTCAGCATAGTTTAGGTCAACACACCTGTATTTGAAATTTAGGCAAACATATTTTGATAGTGCTATAATTTACATTCCAATGTTATATTTAATCAATGCAACAAGATAGTGGTGTGGTTTCCCAAAGGTAAAAATGCAGTTATCGTCGTAGCAGTAACTATGTAAGTGATGTAATGAATATCAAGAGTTAACTCTTTGTCTACCGTCATTATAGACACAATTAAAGAACAATAGGTTGCGGTCACCGGTGACCGCGCGGTGTTTGACAGTTTAATTGCATATCGTCAACACAAATTCTACATCGCACATGTAAAATTTATATTCAAATTAACATGGCTAGAAAATCTCAACGAACAACTGTTGGGCAGAAAGCCTGCAAGATACGATCACCTCGCCTGGTTGGACAATCCTTTTAACTTTTTAACTAAAATCGCGGGTTACTCATGTGAATATGCTGAGAAAAGCTCTACTAGTTTCGGATGACGGTAGCTTTGTTTTTGGCGGGTAAACTTGCCGTCAGAATTATGTAGGAGTCATTACAGACGTATGACGCCATCTATTGGTATACTTTGCGTATTAAGAGCGTCATACTAAATATGTCAAGGTCTAAATAGTTCGATGAAAACTTGCATACCGTAAGTTTATTAACCAAACCAAATCACAGCGGGTTTTGGAATGCAAACTGCAGGTAACCTTAGTTTCATATAAAATAATACACCTCCGCACGGCTAACATTAGGTGATACGTTTACTTGTTACTCGCGCTACCTCTTCGAATCTTATTAAGACTAACCTAGTTGATTAAAAAGTTATAAAAAATGAAGGAAAAAGCAGTGTTACCTGTTCGACTGCGCGATCGAAGTCGAGTCCTGCATCAGGTCCGGAGCAAACATGTAGACAGTCTGCAACGCTGGCTACGGCCGCGCTTGTATCCTTCACATTGTAGAACAACGACCACAAGCACTGCAACAATACACGAACATGTAAAGTCTTTGAATACATACTTTACATACTTTTAAATACTGGTCTAGTGAGCGAGTGAGCTCCGTAGCCATATTCAATTTAAGAATAGCGCCATCTATCGACAAGTAGCAGAACTTAACATTTTTAATCTCTGTTTCTGTAAACTCTTTTATGTAAAAATTTCAACTATATATTTAATTACTTGTTACCCTAAAAGTACCCCAAATTGATGCCAGACATTGCTGGAATCGTGTCATTTGACGTGTCATCTCTACATGATATGTATCTTTAGGTTATTAATAAATTATTTTGAAACATTGATTAAAGATCATCATATTACCTTGGGTTTTTCAGACTCAGCAGTTTGGTCGCCGCCTGACATGTCAAAGATCTTCTCCGCGATGCCCATGAGGTCAGACTCGGCATCCTTCACCTTGTTCGTAATGAAGTACACCACAACTGCAAACACAATCGTTCCATATTGTTGTAGATAAATGGAATATTACACGTATCTCAAAACTAGGTATTTATTTATTTCAATTAAATAGTAATTACAGTCATAAAACCAAGGCGTACATTTCAAATAATAAACTATAACTAAACTTGTAATTTGTGGTAGATATTTCTTTTTAATATTTGTGTCTTATGTACTAAGATTTTCTTATAAACTCGAAACAATTAAGTGATCACGCAAATCTTGTTCCTCGGTTCTCCAAATCAAAGCCACACTTGTTACGGCAGAAGGTTAGCAGTAGTTAAACTTTTTTCTAACATTAGCCCGGAAAAGAGAGCCAATCTTCTACGGAAAAGCAATGTTTACGACCAATGTCATGTAACCACTCTTAACACTTAAGATAAAAAATTTTTATCTTAAGTGTTAAGAGTAGGTAAGTAGTAAGATAAAAAAGAAAACTTTCCTTTATTTTTGAAAAGAAAAAAAACTGCATTCGAATATTTTTAAAATTAGCTTGCCGCACACGTTGCACCTGAAAGTTGCACCCTGTTATTGCATCAATTGTTAGGGTCAATAAGGATGAAATCTCTCTAAGAAACTTCATAAATATAATGAAAGGAAAACAAATAACGATCTATGCAATAAAAGTACAGGGTGCAAACTTTGACAGATTTTAGTCGGTTCGATTAACGTGTGAGGGAAGCAAATTTTAAAAAATCTTTGAATGCAGTTTTGTGTCTTTTCAAAAATAAAGGAAAATTTTCATTGAGTAAAATTTTCTATTTTAAGTATTATTACTTCGCTTTCAGGCGGCATTACAAAAGTCCACCTGTATAGTATACCAAATGGCATAAACACATGTAGAACATAACTCCAGGAACTACCTACTAACAGCATACCGGCCAGCAAACATTTAGGTTAAGTCAGCATCCATTACAAAGGAAACAAATCAAACATCTGGATCTACAAAACTAGACGGGAATGAGTCACATATAACGTCGACAAAAAGAGTCAAGTACTACGTGTTACCGAGTCGCGCGGTTCAACAAAAAACTCGAGTAAAAAGTTAAATTAGCTATTGACCCTGGACGAGTTTTGGTAGCATTGTTCGGCAGTCGCAGTTTCAAGCATTCGACTTTAACCATCGCCAGTAGAGCGCTCATGATTTATCTCGTCGTAAAGAAAAGTACCACCAATGATTCATGCGTGGCCAATTAGCTGATATTTCGCTTTCAAGGAGCCAAGCCGTAGAAAAATGTCTCGAATACCATCCAACATTAAAGTACCTACTTTATAAATAGATTTCTTTTTCCTGATACTTTTTAAAATATACTATGACTAACGGCACTAGCACCACAGTACAGGCTACTTACTAAAGTACGTAATGGTTCAACGATCGTTAAATTATAGGTCCCTCACTACCGGTTTACAAAGCGACAGTTAAAATTGAAATATTTCGAATAGCTTCCATTCGTGCCTCTTCATTTCGTTTCATCACGTCTTGTGAGTTGAAATGTTTCACAATTAGGGTTAGGAATGTTTATTATAATGGTCGTTTGTGGTTAAGAGTTTCAATACTTACACAGTCCTTTGGGGCAAGAGCCGGTGGCGGGTCCGACTTCGAGTACGGTGACGGCGTGATCATCATCAGACTGAGGAGGGAAGCGAAGCAGGGTCAGCGGCTCCTTGTCACTCTTCATTATGGAGCCATTCGTTATGAACACCGCCTTCGATATGTCGCTGCTCTCCGCCGGCTCCGGTGAGATCAAGTCCTTAGGACATTCGTTGATGCCTATCACCAAGTGGTCGCAGTTCAGGGTCTTAGATTTGCTGTCAATCGTGACCACAGTTTTTCCCTCATCTACCGTCTTTGTTTGAACCTTGTCGATTGGTCGGTTCAGACAATACACGCCGCCGAAAACAGCGCACAATCTATAAATATAACATAAAATTTATTAAAGAATGCTACAGTTTTCAGACAACGGAAGATTTTGGAGCACCCGTCTCTCGTCACGTCCATAAAACATAGACATTAGATATTTCGAAGAAAACTTCCGCTGGTTTATTTTTATTGCCTACAAAATGCATTTTAATGTTCAGCTCGCAGTATTTCATCTGATTATACCTAATGATTGAACCGAGTATAGTTGCAATTGTTGAACTTTAATTATAAACTTCCTCAGTGAATAACCTTGTGAAAAGCGAAATAAACTGGTTCAATAGTTGTATGAACATAAAAATTTCAGCGTGCCTATAAAAGTCTGTTTATTTTTTACCCGACCCACATGGTTTGTCGTCTTCGTTTTACTGCCGAGACTAACTCCTACAATAACAGAGTTTAACGAGGGTCAGCCTAATGCTATTCACACTCACATTTAAATTGCAATCATTACTTTTTAATTACTTTGACTTCGAAAATTATTGTTGTTTAGATCTCATTTTAGGGAAAACGAATATCTACTTGCTTACTTGATACCACATTCAGAAACAGAAATACGTCGAAAAATTTTGTGATATTGTGGTCGGTTTCCTACCTCATACCTCGCATTCCATGGAATGTTTTGTTTGCATAAATACTTAATGGGGGTTTAATAAGTAAGCGGCGAGTGGAAATCCCTCCACATTCTCTCATGCCTGAAACGACGACGGTGAGCGACGATGATTCACCGAAGTTTTTATAGAATGAATACAAGAATAGCCTTCATCGACCGGCATATTGTAAAATATTTGAACAATTAATATAGAACAACATCAAAGAGCAATTTTAACATACTGTGTTGAAATTTCTTATAGAAATTAAATAACAAGATATAACTAAAAGTCAGTTTTAAACATTACGATATCTTAAAACGTGCAGCATGCAACAATAGAAAGTTTGCTTCATTTTTGTTTGCGTAGTCGAGTTGTGCACATTTGGGTCATTGTACCGACGACCATCGAGCCGGCACTTTCATGGTGCACTTTTTTGCAATAACAATTGACAATGTAACATCAATCTCTAGTCAGTTACAAAGTAACAGACTCACACTTTTAAATAATTATTCAAATTGACATGAATCGGTTTTCTCACGTTAATGCGAATTAATCTAAATAATAAAAACAAAATAAAACATTCGTGTCGAATTCAGTGTTGAAGACTAATCTACAACAAATTATACACACAGGTGTTAGATGAAACGATGCTATAAAAACCTAGTAGCATCCCACTTGGTAAACAAACGATCATTCATTCATCGACCGTGATGTTTTCCATCGGGTGGACCGCGTCTAACGTACCTGCAGAAGCACTGGGGTAGTTCTCCACTGCCGTACATGGGCCACAGGAAGGGAGTGTTGCCATAGCGACCGAGGCTCATGAGGAACTTCTTGCATTCCTTGACGCCCTCCAAGCAAGGCATGTTGTTGGTGCCGCCCGCGATCGCGTACAACACGTAGTGGATCAGATTGGGAGTCAGACCCTTGTGTGCTAAGTACTCTTTGAATGTCTTGTCATTCCAATCTAGAGGATGAAATAAAGATGTATGTGTACATGTGATACTTTTCTAAACATACATTAAGTAGATTCTTTATCTTATTTCGACTTTACCTTTAAATTCGTTATTCATTTCCTCTTCATTGTATCCAACGATAGACGTCAACATCTTCATGAGTTGGCGTTTCTCAACGATACCCACAGCTTCAGTCGCGAAGACATCAGCTCGGGAGCAGGGTACAGGCATAAGGCGATCGTTGAGCCACGTCAGGACTCTGGTGACGCAGCGGAACTCCGCATAACGAGCTATGTTTGAGGAGATCAGGAGCTCGACGAGTGGACCGCGAGAGAACAGCAGCTATTTAAACGAAGAGGTAGTTGTGTATATGATCAAAAAAGATCAAAAAGCAAGCCATTTTTCTCACAAGGTTCACTTTCCTTTATCATTTAGGCTTGCATTACTTTGGATTAGGTAGGTATATCAAAGACATGTTTTAACCTTTAAAGGAATAGTCTAGATTATAACACAATTATATCCTTACCTTAGGTGTCATATCAATGTTAAACTTCCTATATTCCGCAGAGAAGTTGGCCTGGCTCCACACTTTCTTAGCTGGCTCTGCTTTCGCCTCCTCGGGCTTTTCGTCCCCACCCTCTTCCTTCTTCTCGTCTTGTGCCGATTCCCTATTTCAAATGAAAAATGCTGTTCATTGATACCTATCTAATAACTGTATACAGCGTGTATAAACCAATGAAAATTGTGAGTAAACAATCTATATTTCGGATACATTTGCTACATTGTAATTATAACTTTTACAGTATTTCGATCGTAAGTAAGTACATAAAAAAGAAACGGAAAGAATTCAATTTTAAAGGTGTAAAAACGACTAAAAAAAAACAAATTTAGTCCATTAATTACTATGTTCCATGATTAAATGCCCAAACAATGTAGTCTACTAAACACAATATAATTTATTTAACTTATAACAATGATAAAAACATACTCACTTTTCAATATACCATTTTTCAGCTAAATTGTAGACCTGCAATTGTCTTTTTGGATCAGAGTTGACTTCTTTGATAAATTTCTGTAGTCCATCAAAATTGTATGACGCCCATAGACCTCCATAATGATCACTGGAGTCTAGATGCAAGACATTCTTTCCTATTCTGCTGCAGGCGGCGGCCACTATGGACTCCACCATTCCTAGATAAAGGAACAAGTACTACTTAGAAATTGGAATTGCATAAAATTATGTGAATGATGAATGAAGTCCATGGATGTCGAAATAGTCAAATGCTACTCAATTTTAAGTCGCGCTTAAGTATAGTTCTCTACACTGGCAGTATAGTCGATAACATCGTAATGGAGACTCGTGTCACAGCAAATACTTTGTAAAATGAGAGAGATGGCACAATATTTAAGTACAACTTAAAATTGAGTAACCTTTCAGTATTCGTGTGTTAGCCTTATACTATATTTTATTTAATGTAACATAACATTACGCGTTTTATCATGCGTAGGCAGAGGTGCACTTTATGCCACTGTGCAATGTAACACCCACTTTTTACTATACATATATGAGTACTATGTAATAGGGGGTGAGCCTATTGCCATATACCGGGCACAATTCCAGACTTCGTGCTACTACTGAGAATTTTTAAACAAACCTAGTAATACTTAGTGAGTCGCACTTGCGACCACTCGGTCAACGAGGCAGTCTGTTCAGTTAGTATATATTTTATTTACTAAACCAATTAACTGATTGATGTTAAATAAATATATGTAATGTATATTATTTTTTAGATACAGTTTTTTCATTTTGTCTGAAGACAAACCTATAGTCATAATGCAGATATTTATTAACTAGCTTTTACCCACGGCTTCGCTCGCGTCACAAAAGGATAAAAGTAGCCTATGTGACATATACCAATACACACAGCGCCATCTATACCAATTCTTTTGTTTTCCCTCGGGAATGTCAAAATTTTCCGGGATAAAAAGTAGCCTATTATTTAATCTAGACTTCTAACTTTACGTCTGCAAAAATTCAAAGCAATCGGTTTAGAAGTTTCGTCGTGAAAGCGGAACAAACAAATAAACTCACTTTCCCATTTATAATAGTAAAGATTCTTCCACTAGTTTTCCCTTCCATCAGCTATATATATTTTTATGTTGCCCTGCACTAGGATTTTCTGCTGTCTCGTTGATGAGTTAACAACAATACAATTTCACATACACATGACAGCCAGACCCGGAACAACAATCACACAAAGAATTGTTCCGTGCGGGAATGGAATCCGAGACATATTGCGTGGTAGGCAACGCCCTGCCACAGCGCCAACCATGCAGTCATATATAGATCTGCTATCATTTCGGAAAGTCCAGCCCCAAAAGACATCACTAATTCACAATTACCAAATAAAACACCTTTTACTAAAAGAAATCTATACAATCGTTTGAAATCTTGTGATAGATTTAGTTTTTTACTTTGCAAACATCAGTAGGGTAATACTGATGTTTGTTTGTGGTAACAAACAAGCATTTGTTTGTTTTTTATTACAGTTTTACTACAATAAACCTTTGCAATTATCTTCTTTTATTCGATTCTAGTCTAGACCGACATTTAATTACAAGTTTTTTTTAAAATATATAATTTTGAGCTAGTTTTGTATTACTGCTTTGTTGGCCGAGTGGTTGCAATTGCAAGGGGTCTCGGGTTCGATTCCCGAGTCAGGCAAAGTATTACTTGGCTTTATCAAAAAATCTAGTACAGAGTCTAGAATTGTGTCCGGTATATGGCAATAGTCTCACCCCCTATTATATGGAACTCATAACATAAATAGTGAAAAGTGGGTGTTACATTATACAGTGGCATTAAGTGACATAATGTACACCTCTGCCTACCCCTTCGGGGATAAAAGGTGTGATGTTATGTATGTTTTGTATTATGAAAAAAGTAAATATTTTTTTTCTGGTGTATCCTGTAATGAATTTTACTCGTTATTGTAACAAATAACTAAATTAATGTTAAGTGAATGTACTGTGTATTACAAATGATAACTAGCGTAGTTATTTTACTAATACAATATACTTAATTATTTCTGAATCAATTTTGTAGCCAATATTCAGTTTCTTTATTTATTTTACTTCATCTTTATGATCTTTATCTTAAATATAATAAGAACTATTTTAGTTTTATTAGTACTTTTATCTTACAATAGCCATTGTAATATTTTATTTATCAACTTAAGTACCTATAAAACAAAGAAAATTTATTGAATTTCTGTTTATAAAAGATTCACAACAACAAGGTTTTCGTGTAACCATAACCTAATAAATTAAATATAAGATAATTATCCTATTTACCTCTTATTATTTATCTTATTATGCTATATATTCATACAATACCTACTACATTTATTTCAGTATAATTCATACTGGCATTTGATAATACTTAATGACAATTACAGTGATAGTAATAATGAGGGAATATTACTGTAGATATATGTTTATTGGCAAAGTATATAATATTGTAGCTAAAATTTCCTGGACAATAGTCTAATTAGATATCATTATTAAATATCCAATCCATTATAGCCAAAATTCTTATAAGAACCTCATTAGCAAATTGTTATTGATTTCATTATTTTCCATTTAAGTATTTCATAAAAATGCATTAAGTTTCATAACTAACATTCTGAAACCGAGAAACGTATTCATAAATTCAGTGGTGTAGCCAGACAATGACAGCAGCTAGACACTGCAAATATTTAATTAATGACTAAGCTGCAGTAACTACTGGGGTGTAGTTTGCTTTATAATGCTATCATATCAACGTAAAATGCTTTCAGTTAGCCCAAAGATCTGTACTTTCCCAACCCAGGATATCATAAAGCATTTTCAAACGTAAAATTGATGACTAGACAGCTATGAAAAAAAAGGATCGATAAGTAGGCTGCTATCGCCATCATGACCGGTGCAGTATTACAAGGATAATATAACTTACCTGTCCCCACAACGATGACCTGGAAATCGGTCGGTAAATCGTCGTCCATGATTTCTGCTTATTTTCTATCCACGAAAATTAAAATATATGAAATTAACAATTACAAAACTGAACAATCCACTCCTCTTCTACTTGACACTTTGACAGTGTCTGTCAAACGGACGATGACATTTGATGACAACTAAGCAGGGTCGTTCAAAAACATGGCGAAATGTATGCATAGATAACATTATGTCTAAATAAGTTGAAATGCTTTACAAACATTATTATTAATATTCTAAAATTCGTGATGTCATTTTAAATAATTCGATACATTTTACTAATTCGTGCCATAGCGATATGTTAATGTAGCCCCGAACATGGCCGCGAAATTCAAATGTTTTGAGCAGGTGGGTATCCAACTGCTGATTAACTATAACTTACTTAGCTTTAACTCTACATTTTACCTGATTCGTACCTTACCTAAGGAAGCTAGCGTTTTATGTGATCAACAACAGATGTCCAATTCATTCTCATTTAGTTATTTACCATTTGTTTAAGATCGCCAGTGATCGCCAGTCGTTATTTATTTTCTATTGATAGAATTTGCCAACTAAGTGGGTACGTGACACTTGAACTCGTGAGAGGCCTAATATGATTTAGTGACGGCAGAGAACTGTGTGTGTCGCAGATGTTCTAATCGCCGCGCCGATAGACCGATAGCCGATCCGTAGAGACCAGGCCCATAGTACACCAGTTGACTGTCACGGGCTATTGTTGTTTTATGTATATATATTATATATATTGTTGTATTATAACGAATCCTCAAGTTTTTCGGTCACTTCACCCGAAATAAGTCTCGATGGAGCGACTGGTAGTGCAAGGAAAAGTCGAGGGCAAAATAACTAGTAGGCAGTCGTAGTGGACGGACCTTAAAGGGTACATACCGTGACCCAGGAATGTTCTAACTGAACCAAACATTGTGTTACATAATGATGACCATGATGACGAAGACATATTGCAAGAGCAACACTGAAATGAGATGGACGACCGGCACCGTCTGTCCAGAACGTACGACTAAGAAAAAGAAATTATACACATCTACTGACCTACAAGTGGTTGTTTATGTTATGAATACGAGATATCACGAGGAAGTCGTTTGCAAGGAAATCCGTTCAACGTCATTCGCATAACTTCACTTTTCCATCGATCTGTTTTTATGTTATTGTTATTTTTACTGTCCACCTAAATACTTACATAAGGACTATATTTATGTTAATGGTCGAAATTTTTTAGGTTTTTAACGATATAGGTAACCTCTCCCAAAATATATACCTACACATTTTACACACATTTCTCAGGTTGATAACTTCAGCCAAACTTCACCAATGCCAGGTATATGGAGCCAGGTAATAGCCAGAAGGCTTGAATCGAGATGATCCAGGTGAATCGAACATCATTACCTACGTAATAAATATAAGAGCAATTTAAATAGCTATCTAAATTGTATTCGATATAAAATAAATTCTCGTTTCAATTTTAAACAGACGTGTTAATTTTATTCGCTAAATTAATTCATTACTTAAAATCATTACATAAACAAATCACCTACTTGTAGGAGTTCGGAATGAAACAATAAATGAGTTGTGTTTTATATTTACAATTTTTTACATACATTTCAACATTTTACAGACTACAGGGAGCTCTTTTTAATTCGAGCAACGAACATTACATAAACTAACACATAAATCTAAATCGTAATAAAAACGACTTATGCGTAATCAATCTACTGGGCCCGCGTGTGGCTGTGGCGGGATCGAAACACCCAGAATCAATAAAACCCCGGTGTCCGCGTAACATCGTTACTAACAAGAACTTACAGTGGCAGTTTACTTGGAAAATGACATTGGTACGAGCAACATCTTAGGCCGCTTCCAACTTCATATTTATTGTTCAAAGGACGTATTGATGTTCTATGCCCTTGTTTTCTAAGTAAAACTGTAGTTTACAAAACTAATAAGTATTATACAAATACACATCCGCAATTGACTTGACTGACGACTATCTACCCTAATAAGTTAATATCTACATTGTACAAACACCATGTGAGTCGGCAATGCTTTGGTTAGATCATCAACCGCACTTTCAGTGGGGTTGGCAGTTAGCCCGGTAGACTTGAAAACTTTGTAAATAGAGTGGCAATTTACAGAAGTTAAAAATTCGTCGAAAACTATTATATTAAATAATTACATTAATTTAATGTAACTACAAATGACTAATTCGGCAAATCTTTACATATTACTTTTACATCGAATCGAACACTATGGTGAATGAACCAGATCTGGGGGCTTACTCTTGAATCCAATTCCGATCGATCGACATTGGTATTGTGAAATTTCGTACTCTTGAGTTGCAATACTAGAGCCCATTGCATCCGTATTGCGTAGATATTGAATGAACTAAATGGTATTGAGTTTGTCTTTATATTCCGTACTCTGAATGCTATTGTAACAGCTAAGATTGTGGTTGTATAGTGTTGACATTTAATAATTATTGAGATCATATTGGATTGAAATTGCATTGACATTGAGATTGGTTTCAAGAGTAAGCGCCCTGATGAGTATGCGTGGATAATGTTCGTTATTGTATTGATCAGCCGTTAGCAAAATAAATACACATGAGCAAAACTTTAACTAATTCGCCATCTATGTGTTCCTACACATACGCAACATATACAAGTAATTAGTACATTGTTTACAATTCTTCCATGGGCTGGGAACATCAACATTATGAAACATCAATATATCAACAAAAACAATCTATTTACAATAATTTCCACATATTAAAATATCGACATATTTTCTACTTCTCGTTAGACAAATTAAAAGCATAGGTAAATGCAAGCGAAAAACAACATGAAACCTTGCCTTCCAAGAAGCTATTAGCAGTTTTATATTAGGGTAATGTATAAAGTGCGTTAGTTAAGTATAATTTGAATAAAAATTTAATTTGGTAATTAAAACCAAATGATATGTCAAATTTTATGATATGTTAAAATACAAATAAATAAATAGTTATTTAGAAATGGAAAATGTCGATATTTTAATATGTTTAACTAACATTAATTTGCCAACAGTTACATCACCGTTTGGCATAGACTAGAACAACGTTTCTCTTGAATGTGAAGCACGATCTAACCGCAGCGGTAGCGGCGTGGGACGACTAGAAAGCTCCGTACACTCGCCTACTAATGTCGCCTCACCACCTCCACTATCTGTCGAAAACTGCTCCACCTCATCGTCAGTGGAGTCCGCTTCGTCCTCTGCAAAAACTGAATCTGCACCCACTGACGCTAGTTCACACTCTACTGCATAGGATGGGCCTACGCTACCCACTGACGCGAGAGGAGCAAGTCTCTCACTAGGACAAGGCGATAGTCGGCGTTCTGGCAAAGCACACACTACTGACGAACCACGTCTTTCCAAGTAAGAGCTCCCGGAACTAGAACAAGTCGCTGAGCTCAGTCGCCGGTCGCGTGGACCAGCTGACGACCGACGCTCTGCAAAACGTAAGGCTGAACCAGGAAGCGAGTCACCGCGAGCGGTCGATAACCGGCGGGGCGGTGTTAGCAAGCTTCCATAGCCACCTCCATATGACGCAAACCGTGCTGTACGGGGCCAAGGTGGCTCCTCGCTTATTGATGGGCGTGAGCGTGCACGCTCTGAAAGCGCCTCTTCTAGCGCTGCAGTCAATTGCCTCTCCTCCTCGACTGCCTGTTCTTCGGCGACAACAGCTTCAGCCATTTCTACTATTTTTGGATCGTTTAAAGCCTTCACAGATTTACTACGGCTTTTATAAACGATCAAAAATACCATTAATGCAAAGAAGCCGCCAAGGGTGGCGGCTATTCGTACGCCCGTCATGACGTCATAAGTAGCATAGAACTCGATGCGCACCCGGTCGCGTTCCGCGGCCCGGGAATTTTCAGTAGAGTTTTCGGTCGCAACCGACTCTCCGCTACTCCATCCATCTTGCTGATCCATCGCGCGGTCAAACGTTCATCGCCTGCGGACAAATGAAAATAACTGTTAATTGTACCACATATTGTTACTTATTGTATTTTATTACATTGTGTTGTATTTTATTTGACACATAAAAATCATAAGCCTTTTACCATTACTTTGTATGGATCAATATATTTCGATGGTTAGGTAACGGGATCAACGCTTATCAGACAGAGCCTATCTATGGGAGTGACTAACATTTCAGCTAAAACGTAGGTATTACCTAACCTATATCAACAATTTTGGTAGAGATAAACCCACCTGTTCCCTAAATTTTATTTGTTAAAATCAAACACCGTTATTAAAGTAGATTCTGTGCTAGTAGAATCCAACGTATCGATCATGTGGATTTGATTTATGTTAGTAGGTACTGCGTACCTACTTCATGAGTCGAACAAGAGAGACCGCACAACAATGTTGTCGCTAGGCGATTTCCGTTCGCCAGTTGCATCGGACTACACTCCCGACATATCTGGGACACGGCGTGCATATTGTGAAATGGTTACATTTGAAATTTTCATTTAAATATTAAGTTTTTAACTGATTTTCAGTTTATCGTGTTTATAAGTAGAAAACCTGGAGTAAGCGCTTTCGTTCCAAATATTATTTTGTAATGTACAATACCAAGAGACTTTTTACTGCAGAACCTATTTTTTGTTGGAACATAAACATAAGTAGTCTATCCCTTCAGACAACAACAGGCATAAGATTGCTATCTAAAATTATTAATAAGTTCATTATCCAAAAAGCATTACAATGTATTATGGTTTTTGAATGGTAATTTTCCTGGAAAAACCACCTGAACTATTGAAATAACATACAAACTATAAATGAAAATGCACGTTTTAACAAAACGAGGAAACTGCATGAAAAAAATAGTTGTTTGTAGAAAATTGTAACAATACAATTTTAGTATTACCAACAACGAATATGTTACAAATATCTGATCAGAAAAATGAAAAATTGTTCTTAAGAAAATTCTAACAGAATTTCTAAGTTACATATTGCAAAAACAAATATGATTATGATATACGCATCAAGGAATGTATATGACGGCATAATATCGGTCGGTTTAGGTGTTGTTCACGTTTCTAGACACAGCCAACCCAAATTTAATATCGAATTCCATTTGATCCTTCAATCAAGATAATATTCGGAAAGCACTCAGCCCACAGGTGCGATAGGTAGATCTATCCAATAATTGAATTTTCTTCTTGTTCAATCTTTTATATTCTATTATATATTTTATTGACTTTATAAATAGAAATGGCTCAAACTGAAAGCTGACAAGTCTATAAGTTAGAGAATGGGCCACCAATATTAATTTGATTGCGAGGATTCTTAAATTGAAGGACAAACTACCTGTCGTTATTTAGGACAAGTATCTAGCTCCCATAACATCGGCTGAATAAAACAATGAACGGTTATTCACGAAAGAGGCTAAAACCGACAAGGGTGCCTGTCCCAATTATGTACACGTACTTAATCCAGATAGCCCTGAGAAACGAAACGTTATCAAAGCTTATGAAAATAGACACAAGGACCTTTATTATTTTATGAATTTATTTTGTTTCTACCAAGTTTAGTGCAATACTTGCTTTTTAGAATTATTTTTACTTCGTTACAAAATGGGTAGTACCTACGTTTCTGAAACAAGTTGATATGCGTCATCTGCTTAGTAAAACAGAAAAATGTGTTCCAATTTTTCATTGACTAAAACAGATAAATTGAAATAAAATGTATTTCGGAAGACAGTTCTGTGTAACACTCAGTACGGCGGATCACCTTACAATAGTCTACTAAAAGGTGCTCCGACTACCATACGTAATTATTTTTTAGTCGATCTGTCTTTTTTGGACGTAAAAAATGGGCTCAGAAGTCAGACTACATATTGTTTAGTTTCCACTTTTGTAACTATGCAGTCGTTTAATATCTTTCTTGATAGTTTAAGCCTAATAAAATATTTCCGCAGTTAACGTTAGTTCTCATATAATATTAGAACCATCTCGTGTACATACACAATAACGTTATTAACGTACATATAGGTACACAACGCAGTTCTAAATTGCACGGCAGATCGATGTATTACACCCAACACACAATGAAACTAAATATAGCGACGCAGGTGGAGCACTCGGTCACTCATGAAGAAGTAACAGCTCAAATCATTACCCACAATATGGGCGATGTTTGCTTCGTTAACAACTAAGCGTATGCACCAACATAACAAAGGAAATTCACAATTTTATTAACTTTACGACGCAAAAATTCTGGACCTAAATATACATTTTACGAACGAAAGAAGCAGAGGATAGGAACAGGAACGTGAATTATGTTCCACGTTATATTGAATTTTATAATGGCGAGCACGGCTATGCTTTTATAATAAGACTATAAGTACGATTCAATAAGAAACGTAAAAGAAATTTTGTTTGTTAGAACACAAAGAACGATAATGTCGATTAACTTGAAGATTACATTTATAAAAGGTTCCTATAACAATAAGCAAAGGTTGCCTTTAACCAAACGCTCAGACGGTCGGCTCAATTTGAACAATTCAAGCTGGTAGGTAAACTATATTACTTTTAACTTATTGCACCCGCCATGTTCTCACTGGATCACCTAAAGGTTAGCTAGTAAAAATGATATTAAGCCCACCCTTGTACTTTAGTTACAAAAAATTAAAATAAAATAGTTGCTCAGCTCATCGTTTCATTTTGTTCGGTACGTTTACGGTAATTTGGTGCAAAAATCTATGTGAACCCTTTTGGAAGATTATTTTAGGGGTGTTAGGGATATGAATTAGATAGATGGAAACGGTATATTTCAAAACAATAAAAATATGTAGACAAATTCACTACAGGCAATTATGATTTACACAGTGTATTTAACTTGCAGTTTGATTAATAAACCTGAAAGAATCTGGGGGAACTAGGGAGGTATAAGTACCTGTAAATTGAAGTTTGTTGGTGGTCGTACAATAGTAAAATTCAGTGAAACTTGGCAAGCGTACAAGAAAATATTAACACAGTGCATACCATGCGCATGGTGAAGGAATTACAAACATGATTCATAAGGTCCCTGGCTTTATTAAAAAGTCCTTTGATTCTGGATTTGTTTGTCTTTCCACTGTCAGATAGATATACGGACTTCAGGACGTTGAAAAACGTTTTTACACGGTTAAACTATTCATAATAATCCCCATCTCATCAGACGAAGTATGACCGATACCTAATCATGGCTACCAATGCCTGTTACACAGCACTAATCTCATGTTCCTGTAGAGGAGAACCCATTTCGTTTTCTTTTGAGACTACACGGTAAATGGCTTACTTTAATTGAACGAGTTCCCCAATCATATAACTATCGGGTTCTAGTTCACTATGAAAATCGATCGCTTTTCCCTAAACCGACGTTTAATGTTTATTAACGAAATTGCGGTTTGCGTTTATCTTGGCACGGCAGTAATGGTGATATCGTTTTCGTGCTAAGGCTGCTAGTAATACTATGATACGAGTAATTTTCTAAACCTACGGAACTATCTTGTAGTGGAGATTTAAAGATGTATTACATTTTTTTATTAGTCACTCTACTCCATTTTAATACATTATCGCGATTACGTTTTTATAAATATTATACCGATACATCTTTGCTAATGTTACTGTTCGCAGAAATATACAAAGTTCCTAAACGATACATTATCTGAATGGATTTCTACCGATCGACGTAATTCCCAAGGCATTGGCTCATGTTGGTCGGTCCGCGTGTCAAACGGTGGGCAATTAGGAACTCAAGATTTATTGCTTGCGGAATCCCTGCGAGACACACTTTAATACGATTTTGCGGATAATTTTGTGTCCCATATATTTAGACATCTGTGTAGTTATTAAAAAAAAAATTACTGAGTCTAGTTATTAGTCAAAAGGGCAAATACTAGACGATGATGTTTCATTTATAAGTTGTCGTAAGAACAAGTAGTTGTACCAGAAGATGTTGACAGTGATTTACAGTTCTGGTTCATAGCCGCCAGTATCAGTAATATTCAATTCAAACAGTATTTTTTTAAGCGATAGTAATTACTTCTATTAACTACACTTATCGACACTCACAACTCGAAAGGAGTAACTAGTTACTTAGAAGTGCATTGCCCGTCTTTTGGCAGAGGAGATTGGAGCTCCAGTAACCTCACTCACACGGCAAAATTCAACGTTGGCGGTATTTCAGGCCGCTTTTCCGTGTGGTCCTGATTACGTAATGAAGGCCCATTTCTACTTCTGATCCCCAATTCCAAAATCTCGAAAAGTCCAGTAACACACTTGAGTCTCATTTAGCGTGTCCATGGGCGGCGCCAATTATTACGCGTAGCTTCAGGTGATCCGTCTGCTCGTTGGCCACTATATCCCATAAAACCTTCTCTATTATTTTATTTCAATAGGCTTAAGGCCGATTTTTCATTAATTCTTAACTGTAGAATAAAATTGACATTTGACAGTTTTTAAGTTAGTATGGAAGAATTGTCAAATAATTAATTATTCATAGTTATTCCTCAGTTAAAATTTATGTGGCATTGGAAAAATTAAACCTTAATAAGGCTTGATAAAATTAATATTATGAAGTTACAAGTCCAAATGGTATCTGCATGTAACCTTGAGCACCACAAGTGTTAAGTGTGTTGATCCTGTTGATTAGATAGCCTGCACCATTTGTAGTATTCAAGTGGTTATGTAGCCCTGAGAGCCATGACTTAATTTCATTACCTTATAGGCTTCTGCCCACATTGTAGATATTGAAAAAATATGAACTATATCAAATATTTATATGCACAACTGCATAATATGCTGGATTTTATTTTGTTATAACTACTGTTTACAAAATTATGTTACACGGAAGTGTTGAAATCAAAATAAGTAAAGGCTGCTAGCAAATAATATAGACATTGATAGAAAACAAAGGGTGATGTTGACGCTGATATAAAGATAAATGAAAGTTCTTTGTTCATAGAAGTGTTGTATGACCACAAGCATCTTATTTTGGATACAAATAAAACCCTTCTTCATTTAAGAAGAAATTTCTGCAGGGCAGTGGTAGTTCACATTCTGATTACATATACAATTTAACCCATGGTAAGCCAGAGTGTACATCTAAGCTAGTACTAATGTATTTTTTATACCATGACAGTGGCAAAAAAGCACACAGCCTACCTGATGGTAAGTGCTTACCATGATCAATTAACGCTTGCAACACTTGAGGTATTACATGGACCTTGCCATTCCTTAAAAATCCATTTAATCCCTTGTATTTTTACTGTCTCACAAAGCAGCAGATGAGAGGATAAAAACATTAGGCTGAGAATAAACTACCTAATTAAATAAGTAATTTGTACTTACACATGCAAGCTACAAAGTCAATACAGAAATATTGTAAGCACTATGTGTTGCTTACATCACATTTGAGTCTAATTTTATCTTTACCTTTACAAGGGAACCAGTGACATTTTGACAAGATTATAATAGTGTTCGTAACTTTAATTATAGTTCTACTTTTAACAGGAACAGCGTGGGAATCATTGCTCGAGATGCGTTTATATTCATAGCACTTACGGGAAGGTTTAATAATTTATCTATGGTAAATAGGTCATTTCGATTTGCCAATACTAACAAATAATAGACAAAATCAATCTTGCGTCTAAGTTGACAAACTAGTGAGTTGCATTTTTGTAATAAACAGCCATTCTGTAGGATGTTTCAAGTTTAGCAAATGAAATAAAATAATACAAATGGAAATAGTATAATGATACTCCTTATTAAGTTATCTAAAGATTGGGACTAGTCCTAGTATGTTGGGATGACCTAGAATGAATGAAAAACGGATCATTGCTGATTTACAAACATGAAATGACAACATTGACTCAGTATCACCATTTAGGCAATTAGTAAAGAGTCAAGGGGAAAGGCAATCAGCTGATGCTTCAATGATGAATATTACTGAATATTGATGACGATTTTTTTTATTTACATGATTACAATACGAAGGATTTAATGTTTAATGATGAATGAAACTGGTTGTAATAATTTGGCAATGCAAAGAAAATTAATACTTATCCAGAATTAATCAAACATTTAAGAGATAATGGAGAAATATAGGCTAGAAATAATATTTTATTTACCAGCTGAATAGCATGATTCGTCGCCCGCAGAAATTGAAGAACTTCGTGAGTAACGATGATTTATTATGTACATGTCCTTGGCAAATTATTGAAAAATTCTATACACCCATTCATTGAAAACACTTAAAATAAAATAAACTACATTGTGTATGATTTATAAACGTTAACATTTAGAAAATTTATCGCACCAATGAATTTGAAAATTAGTACTTCACTTCACGTTACTGACATTATTTCAATTAAAGTAAATAAAACACCAATTGTCAGTCATTTTCAGCAAGACTTTTAACGAACTGTAGCGAATGTTCTAGTTTACTTAGCAATTTTATAAAAATTGATATTTCACTAAAACTCCTCCTCCAATCATTTACAAATGACACAAAAAATTAAAGAAAAAATGTAAAAAAATTATGACTTTTTCAGGGCTGTTCATTTTACCGACACCGTCACCAATGTTAACTGTCGACAGTATATATAAGACTGGCAACACTGTACCTTCAGCCACACCTTGACATAATTTTGTTTATATTTGTTAATTTTATTTGTGTAACTTTATGATAATTTAAAAATTAGAATATATAATAGAAACTATTTAATTTTATGCATTGTTTGTTCTTTTATCGTAAATCGTAACATAAACCAACTTATCAATGAACGTGCCATAATTTCTTAACAGCTGGACGTGCTGAATGATGCTAAAATTTGACATTGACGTCCTTGCTTGACGTTAGTTAATCAAACGGTCCGTCAACGTCAATAAACCAAAACATTGCATTTGATTGCAAGATTGCAAATAAATTCAGATTTACCGCAATACCGCGTATAATTCGTGACTATCCACATGTTATTATAATTCAAAATAGACTATACCTAAAATTGAAGTTTGCTATCATTGTACGATTGATTAAATAGCTCCAATTGTTTAGAAAATGGGAGATTCCGATGAATGGACGAAGTATGTTAACGACCCAAGAACGGTCTGTAAATATACTAGTAAATGTTATCAGAAGAATCCGGAACATCATAAAAGGTTTAAGCATCCGCCGCAAAAGATTGGTAAAGCAATAAACCGGGCTAAGGGTCGTATGTCGCCATACACCAGGCCTTCTCCTCGTCGTTCACCTGCCCGGCAAGAGAAGTATGAGTCACCGAGTTGTAACAATGAGGATGCAGTGGCGAAATCGGATGATGTCGCCAGTGATAGTAAACCTGAACAACTAGATGAACAAGAAACTGAAGACCAAACAGTTATAGAACTCCCTGAAAAAATAACCTTTTATGACAAAAGTACTGATAACAGTCTCCTAAAAGAACTCTTCTTAGTAGAAATGCCTGATGACTTCTTCAAATTTTTTGATTGTATTAGTGAATGTGGTAAATCATTTGAAGACACATTGTCCAGTGTGAACCTGATGGCAATTGGTCCATTTGAACTGTTGATTGGAAAGTTGCCTAAGTTAGATAATAAAGAACTGTATTTAGTTCATTGGAGATTCTTCTATGATCCTCCAGAATTCCAGGTAAAATTCAATTATAGAAGTACAAATTATAAGCAAAAAGCAGTAATCTATTTCTCTTTACATCTTTTTAAATTCACTACTACTTGACAATTTTTCAGGCAATCCTCAAGAACAAGAAGAAAGATAGCCAGTATCACATTGGATATTTTCGTGATGATCCTAAAGAGGCACCAGTGTTTGTTGCAAGTAATGATAGTGAGAAAAACTATCACATCACTCCTATGGCCTACAATTTATTTGGAGCTGTTTAGTAAGTATAAATACTTAAAGCAAAACTAGTAAGCATGGACATTATTAGATGTAAAATTATAATATTTGAGAAACATCTTTGCATATAAGGCTAATTTTTTTGTTTATTATCCTCTAAAAATAGATAATTTGGCATTTTTATCAATTTCTTCTTGTAGTCTAGTAAGTAATGAAATTTTCTGTTTCTACAAAATTCTAAGTAATGCTGGCTGGAATTATTCCTAGTAATTTCAATATAGTTGCCGCCTCAAGGAGCACAGAACATAACTGGTGGTGAAGAGGAGGTATTTGTTGTACTCCGTTTGCCTCTGGTAACCCATTTAGGCAGTGAAACATTATGATTCCTACCTCAAAATTAGACTAATTATTTTCCATTATTTTTTCAGTAAATACTTGCAAAATGAGAAGAAGCATTCCCCATTTACCTCAATGGCCTGCCAAAAAGTAATGGACAAAATTAAATCGTATGCAGAAAAGAACAATATATCTTTAGAGGAGTTTGATATGAAAAAGAGATCAGCGAAAGTGGTAACTAAATCTTTCCATGGTGCAGGCATTGTGGTACCTTACAATAAGAAAACTCAAATAGGATACAGACGCTTGGTAGAAACTGATGGTAAGATATTGAACATGTTTCTTTGACATGATTCTATCAGCCACATTAGCTGTACTGTAACTGTGTAATTTGGATATTGGACAAACCAATCAATTGATTAGTAGCACTAAATAATTTACTGCTTCATCAGTCTTTTTATAATGTTTTATTTAGTTTCACTTGTCCCATTGTCTGTTAGTAATCAAGATCCACTAGTTTTCCGATGGAGCTGAAATTGTTATAAGTGTTACTAGAACTTAATATTCTTCTTTTGTTTCCTACAGCCAATCTGAAAAAAATGTTTACAAAGCTAGAAGACGCTATAAGCAAAACAGAAAAAATGGGTGTACTCTCAGAGTTACAGCCTGTCATCACTAATATTAGTATTGCCCTGGATGAATCAGATTTTGGAACTGGTATTGAGGGTGGCATAGCCCTGTTTTGCTCTGGTTTACAAGAATTGGCACAACCTGCTATGAGTAGCTTGGTTTCTGCATACTCTGTGCTAAATAGGAATTCATTTGGAGACATAATAAAGGTAATTCAGTTTTTGTGGTCTATTCTATTATACTTAAATTCCTAATTATTTCGATTTTCAATTTTATTACTACTGTATAAAGTTGACAATCCTTTGAAAGAGTCCGTTCATTTCACCTTTATATTTTACTTACGTGTTTAAATTTTTTTCAGGCGCATATGAAGTACCGGCGTAAAGGAGCCAATGTTTCGCTGCTCCAGGTGTCTGCCTCAAAATAACAGTTTGTCAGATACTTTGGAACTAAATGTTGTCAAGCAGTGTATTAAGCCAAAGCTGACTTTCGATTGACGTTTACGTTAATATTGTCCCAAGAAATGTTTTTGACTTATGTAATGTGTATTGACTACAGTTTGCATGCATAATATAAAATGATATTGCTTCAGTTCAAAATGTAATTTTGTAGCTTGATGGATACGTAAACACCGACACAGTGCCTTTTTTGATAATATTATTGTACTTATTTATAGTTAACTAGGGAACAAACATAATTTCAATTTGTTACATTTAAAATAACAGTTCAAAACTGTAAAGTGGGTAGGATTTTGTATTGTTTTATTTTTAATTAAAACCAATCATTTAATATAATAAATCATTTGATGCTTTTTAAATAAACCAATTTTATTACTGATGTCATAGGCTATGACGTCTATGTGTGTACCTATTAGTTGAAATATTATCTCATAGAAGATTTAATAGGTCCTATAAAACCAATATGTTGCCCAACTTCCAAAATTGAACACAACATCTCAACAAACAAGTAAAGAAGTGTAATTGCCCATTTATACATTTTAGGCTGATCATTTTGAACCAAGGAAAGAGCAAATAAACAGCATTTGTTTATAACATAAAAAATCGACTCTGATAAACCTTATCTTTGTATCATTACGACTTGATTACGACAATATACTTATGACAGCCTAAACGAGTACATACTTGTTCAAACAAGTCATACACTGCGTATTATTATTTATGAGATGTTTATCGCGTAATTTTGTGAGCCAACGAGCTTTAGCATCTCTATTACTCTATGCAAGATATCGCGGTTAAATCCAGTTTGCACGACTTGACCTTGGAATTTTGTGTAAATTAGGGTGACGCCAGCATACGTTTGCACTGCCCGAGTGCGTTGAACTATCTTTGTCAACGCGTAAGAACCCGGACGCCTTTGTAAGACAACATTATATAAACGTTATCTATAGGTACATAGTTTTATACCTACTTATTTTGGAAAGTCGGAGATTAGTGATGTTGATAACGATTTTGCAATACATCTTAACATATTAACACTACTTAATTGATATTTGCAATTGTTAATATTTGGTCGTTGATTACTGCTCTGCTATACCAGATATGGGAAAGTATTAAGACTATACTATCTATAATTATTATTTCACAATGAAATATGATGACCCTGCCCCCTGAAAATGTGAAGATTAATCAAGTGCGGGCACGATAAAGGTTATTTTAAACTTAACCCTATCTTTATGGCCAATCTCCATCTGGGAATGCGGAATGCGACCCGCCGTAACCTTGGGTCTGGTTTCAAGTTGGGCAGCGAGCTACCCGTGTTTATGACACTATCCACGACTAGTCAAACACCATAGGTAATTTATAAGTTACTTTTAAATAAATAAAATATATAAATTCGAGTAACATTTTTATTATAATCAAGTGTCCTTCACTAAAAAAAAAATCAAAAATAATTATCAGAAAAAAATATCAGTTCAGATCAAAATACGTTTCAAAAAACATTATGAATCTTCAAACAAATTACATGGAAGTCATTCTTTAGGTTTGTCAGCAGTACTTAGATGTAGAAATAGGGATAATGGACAGTGATCACTACCATAGACTTTATCTCTTATAATATTATCGCACAGCGCCGGTAGCAACCTTTCCGATATTATGAAGTAATCCAAACGCCTGAAACAATCAAATTCAATTTAATGTTGGTAATGCATCCAGTTTTTCTTATCGGACAAGTCCGACTAAAAACCACCCCGTTCCTTCTTCTGCACGTCGAGTCGGAGCCCCGGTTACGTTAGATTCTCCGCGACTTCGAATCGGCATCGGCCCTATTGGGCCCCGTCTGTGGTGGTCTGATGGCTCTTTAAGGTGCGCGCGGAACGCGACGCGCCGTACGCTCGGGTCTGTTTCTGGTCGGACGGGGAGCCACCCATGCTCGCCGTCCGCAGTCCCGCGCTTACGGTGGCCGGAAATCGTCCCGCGATCCCCGACGCCCGGTGTGTCCTTCGCGATGGCTCGGTTGCGAGGAGGCAGCGCTTCGCTGCCTCACGCGTGTCCCGCCTCCTCCTTAGCTAGTATGACTGCTTCGCAAAAGGAGGAGACGTCATCCCAGTCCCCCTCGCTCCGCATCATGGCCTGCACTAGGCCCGGACGCGAGAGGTCGCCATTGCCGATCACTTCCCTGAGGGCACGGCGGTGCTCAGCCCACGCAGGGCAATCCGCTACAGTGTATTCCACCGTGTCCTCAGGGCGGTCCTCGCAGTGATGACACCCGGGCGTTTCCTCCCGCCCCATCAGACACAGGTACCTCCCGAAACTTCCATGTCCGGTGAGGACCTGCGTCAGGCGGTAAGTGAGGACGCCGTAGCGTCTCTCAAGCCACTCCTCAAAGAGGGGACTATAATAAAAGGCTGAGTCTGAGTAATAGAGGGCGTAATAGAGACCTATTACAGCCCGCCATACGACAGGCATAAGCCTAGATGACGTGCTACATAGATAGAATTTTGGACGCTTCAAAAAAAGAACAATATTAGGTACTGTGCCCAACCTGGGAATAAAACTCCTTGCTCGGCCTCGTTTAAAATGTTTGCGGAAACTTGCTATTGGCCTCTGAATTATATTGCCAACCTAAATAGTGAAACAAGCCTTACCATCCTACATTTTTCGCCCGGCTGTTCATCATGTAGGTCCAGAAAGTATACGCTCCAGTTTTATCTGGGTACAAATGTCGATACGTATCGACGAACCCATCTCCTAGTAAATCTGTCATTCCAGCTCGCTCCTCGTCAGTAAAACCAGCATTCTTTCTGTTTGTTTTAGGATTGGTTAAATCTGAAAACGAGTTTTGTTTTTATTTACAAGCGAAAAGTTATCTACTATCCCAACATTAGATTAGCGTGTCGTTTTCAAGTTGTGATACATACCTATTTCTTTATGAGAAACATTCATGTCGCCACAAATTATCACAGGCTTCTTCTTATCTAGTTCCTTAACATGTCTACGAAATTCTTCATTCCATTGCAGTCTTTTCGGAAGTGTGACTAGTTTACGCCCCGAGTTGGGCACATATGTACATACTAAATAAAATTGCTCATATTCCGCTGTTATTATACGACCTTCGCTATCCAACTCCTCGTTCTGTAACCCATATACGACGTTCATAGCAAGTTTCGTTGTATAAATTCCTACGCCTGCGTAGCCCTCCTTGTCGCCTGCCACCCAGTATGCGTGATAGCCAGGTATGTTAGCAATTTCACTTGGTAATTTATCTTGTGAACATTTGGTTTCTTGTACACAGAGTATGTCAGGTTTCTCATACTTGAAATAATCAAGTCCGCCCTTGGATGCCCACGCTCTTATACCATCTACATTCCAACTTGATATTTTAAAGTTCCATTCTTTACCCTGACTATTAGTGGAAGAATTCGAAAAGTCAATGGATTCAAAATCTGTTAGAGATTTATTTTTGGGAGGAGCTTTCTTTTTCGTGTCTCCTGCAGATGCTGAAATACATTACTGTGATTTGAAACTGAACATACGACAAAATATTCGCCAAAAGTAATATGTATTGTCGTATGTTGCCTCATTTATCAGTGAAGACATATTTGACAGTGTATTATCACCATCCTCATAACCCAAATGTTATGTAAGCTCTGGTAAGCCCAACATGCATGTGGATTTTCATTAAAAAAAGTTTCATGATAGAAGCACACCCTCCAACTAATAATATGACAGATTTTCGCACAACAGGACCTTTTAACATGTTTCCACTTTCCACAACTTATAAACTAAGGACCTCTAATAACCATACATTATATAACTATCATGCGAAAAGTTAAGAGTATAATAAATGTATTTGGTATTAATTGTTAATCAGTCACCTTGTCTTAAATCTACATAGTTTAAATTAGTAATATTTAATGCTACCAAGAACTATGTTCCTCAACTCTATCCCCATCTATGATGCTAATCAGATTGTTAGAAAGTTCCTTATTTATTAAAGTAGTTTATGAAGCATATCAAGTAATTACTTAAACATAATTTATGTCATATTAATTCTGTATATACTTGAAAATATAGAAAGGTAGAAAAAATAACAAAGCATTGAAAATATACATTTGGAAAAGTTTTATTATGAATAATTAATGATAAAACACACTTAATCATAGTAACACAAAACAATATTTGTCAAATGCTTAAATTATAATCAATATAGTACTAGTTACCCTTTTCATCAGTTCCCTTGCGTCGACGTTTTGTTGTGGGCTCATTATCTTGTGGTTCTTCATCAGTTTCTGTGTTAACTTCAACCACTTTCTTCTGACCCCTCTTACCTTTGGCAGGTTTCACTTCTACTGCTACATCTTCTTCTTCGTTCTTTGCCTCAGCTGGAAATAGAAGAACATTTTTTTAAGATCAACTTGTCTAGATTGTATACCACATTTATCAATACCATCAAGATGAATTGAAATTTACCTTTTTTGGTTACCTTCCTTTTTTTAGAGGATGGTGTTTCATCCTCTTCTTCATCTTCCACTTCTTCTTTAGGTTGAGCTTTCTTTCCCTGATTTTTTCGACCTTTTGGTTCCTTTTTCTTAGGCTCAGGTTTGTCTTCCTCTTTCTCAACATCCTCATCTTCATCTATATCATTTTCCTTTTCTTGTACCTTAGCAGGGGCCTTCTTCCTGCCTTTTGGTGCAGGCTTCTCTTTTATCTCCTCCTCAGGAGTATCAGACTTCTCAGCTTCAGGGTCTGTCTCAACTTTGGCTGCTTTCCTTCCCCTACCTTTAGCAGCTGACTTAGGTTTCTCCTCAACTTCCTCTTTTGGTGTGTCTTCACTCTCTACCGTTTCTTGCTTGGGTTTTCTTCCTCTACTAGACTTAGGTTCAGCTTTCTTTGCTGGTTCTTTTTTGGCCTGCTTCTTGCGACCCCTGCCAGAACTAGGTGCCTCCTCTGTGTGACCATTACTTTCTTCTACATTTTCATCACTCTGTTCTGTTTCTTCAGTTGGGGCTAATGACTCCTCTTCCGCAGATTGATCACCATTAGATGCTTGTTTGTCTAAGGAATTCGAGTCATCTACATTTTTCTTGCGACCTTTCTTGGCAGGTGGCCCTACTTCTTCTGATTTCTCATTTACTTGTTCACTAGAATCATTAACAGCCTTTTTACCACGCTTAGTTGGTTTCTTGTCATTGACTGGGGTAGATTTCTCACTCAGTTCAACATCTAATTCAGGTTCTGGTTCTGCCACAGTTTTAGCTTTCCCTCTGCCTTTTTTAGGAGCATCATTTTCTGATGATACCTTAACATCAGCCGCTTTCTGCAAAATAATATTATCTATGCATATATCACTTTCTTAGATAAAATTAGGTTTATGAAAGATATTTGCATATACATACATACTAAAATTGAACTGATTATATGAATAAATTGTAGTAGGTCATTAACCATTACTGAATTTTCCAGTTACACTAAGTGTTATCTATAAGGCGTGTTTTAAACTAAATCTTTACAAATAATATATGCAATAAATAGGCTAAGATCCCTAGTACAACGAAAAGTGGCGCCAAACGCCGCTAAAACCTCTACTAATGCCTCAACATGTGTTCCTATAATCAATCTAACTGGCTGAGCCCGGCATCAACGGGAAAAGTTGCACAAAGTTCACGTATTACAAAGAGCACCGTAAAATATAAAGTATCATTTCATTTAGCATAAATTGAAGTTGAATAAGTCTGACACTAGCACTCAAGTGGTCGTCGATAACAATGCTAAACCCGTTTGTAAAGTCAATGCAAATATTCAAGATTTCAAGGGCCTAAAATAGCGAATTTAGCATACCTTTGCTTTAGCAGACCTTGGCGCCATTGTCACGAGGCTATTGTATCAGGATATATCACTGATTCCACAATAATTACAAGCAAATTTCTGCTTCAACCGTCTGAAAACGCGTTGTTGAAAGCAGGAGTAGCGGGCGAAGTTTCCGGTAAAATGACAGATCTTGCGTACCGCCACTGGCGCCAAATTTTTGCCAATTTTTTTAATTTAATTTTTTAAATATGGCAGGCTAGTGCGCCCCTTTTTCTTCAAACTATTCTCTATGACAGACAGATTAGTAATAGAACAAAGGAAGTTTGAAAATGAAATTGTTTACAGCTATAGCAAGAGTTACTTTGATACGAATTTATCAACATATTATACTACACCTATGTTTTTATTTACGCTAATTAAAATGTACAATTACGAGGGTACTACTCACAATGTGGTTAAGAAAGTTAATTGAAAAATTCTTCAAAACTACTGAGTGTACATTGTTATGAGTGGCAACATACCTTAGAAAATTACTATGCCATAATTTTATTTCAAAACGACTAGTTAATTTTAATAAAAAAAATATAACTATAATCTTGGATGATTTCTTATGACTTTTCTTTTGATTTGCTTTCACTTTGCTTTTTTTTTTTTTTTCTTTTTCTTTGGCAACTGAGTCTCCAATACGATAAACACTTTGCTTTGATATAAGAATGAAAGGCGTTACGCAAATCATATGACATTGACAATAACGACAAGTACTGCCATTTGACAGTTTAGCACAAACTGTCAGTGTCAGTGTCGTGGCAACGTGCACATCACATCGGTTGATTCTTTTCCTCCCTTTCCTATTAGGAAGAATTTGTGCATGAATAAAATTGCTGAATAAATCCTAACTAAAATGGTAAGATTTCTAGATCTAATGGATATCTTTAAAGCTTTTTCTACTTCACCGTTGGCTTTTAGATCAATAAATTATAGTTGTTTTTATTATATTATTTTGTTACCTCAAACCGGGACTTTTATCGCATATGTTGTGAGTAATTATGGTACATTTATTTGTATATCAGGCTACTTTAGATCGGAAAGGCACCTTTAAGGTGGAATATCTTCAAGATATTGAGAAGAAGGTTCAGGCAAAATGGGATAGTGAGAAGATATTTGAAATGGAAGCACCAGACGATGGGAAAGCTCATGAAAAATTTATGTGTACCTTTCCCTACCCATATATGAATGGTCGATTACATCTTGGCCATACATTTTCACTATCAAAATGTGAGGTAAGTGCAAACTGATTGTACCTATATTTATAAACAATATGCTGAAAATAAATGAGACAAGTATGTGTGTTATAATATTAATAATATAGTAGTAATATAACAACAATTTTTCTGTAAAAAAAGATAATGGAACAATTAAATAAAATATAAATAATATGTTCTTTTCTAGTTTGCTTCAAGATACTACAGACTAAAAGGGAGAAAAGTTTTGTTTCCATTTGGTTTTCACTGTACTGGTATGCCAATAAAAGCCTGTGCTGATAAGTTAAAAAGAGAAATGGCTCTCTATGGTTGCCCTCCAGTATTCCCTGAAGAAGAAGAGGTTGTAGTCAAGGAGGAAGGAGATATTGTGCCCAAAGACAAAAGTAAAGGAAAAAAAAGTAAAGCAGTAGCAAAGACAGGTGGAGCTAAGTACCAATGGCAAATAATGCAGAGTCTGGGAGTTCCTGAAGAGGAAATTAAACTATTCGCTGATGAGAGTCACTGGCTGGAATATTTCCCTCCATTAGCAGTAGCAGATCTGAAGAGAATGGGTATTCATGTCAGTACTATTTCCAGTTATGTACAAAAAAAATGATAACAATCTCTATTACCTTTCTAATTAAAAAATTGCATTCTTCTAGTTGTTATCAACCATTATATAAAAATTATACATACATATGTACATACATTCAGTATGTCTATGAATAGGTAAAATTAAAATTGTTATAACTTGTCACACAGGTTGATTGGCGTAGAAAATTCATCACTACTGATGCAAATCCATTCTATGACTCATTCATTAGATGGCAATTCTACCATCTCAAGGAACGCAATAAGATCATGTATGGAAAACGTTATACCATATTTTCGCCTTTGGACAAGCAGCCTTGTATGGACCACGACAGGAGTACAGGAGAGGGGGCTGGCCCTCAAGAGTACACACTTCTAAAAATGGAAGTGATTGAGCCTTTCCCAAAAGTTCTCAAGTATGTTATCTTTATTTCCAAGTATTTGATTCACTATCCACTTCATTTAAATTAATTTAAATGTTATCATTCTTTTCAGGTCTCTACAAAGTAAACAAGTGAGTTTAGTTGCAGCAACCTTAAGACCAGAGACAATGTACGGACAAACTAACTGTTGGGTCCATCCTGATATCAAATACATTGCTTTTGAAACTGTTAATGATGGTATATTTATTTGTACTAAAAGAGCAGCAAGGAATATGGCCTATCAAGGTTTTACAGAAAAGGATGGAGAAGTTAAGGTATTAATGGAAGTTGTAGGACAAGACTTATTGGGTACAGTCCTGAAGTCCCCATTTACTTGTTACCCAAAGATATATGCTCTCCCTATGTTGACTATCAAGGAGGATAAAGGCACTGGAATTGTCACCAGTGTACCATCAGACTCCCCTGATGACTATGCGGCACTTGTGGACTTACAAAAGAAACCAGCTTTTCGTGAAAAGTATGGTATCCAAGATGAAATGGTACTTCCATTCAAACCTGTACCTATTTTAGAAATTCCTGAATTTGGTAATTTATCAGCTGTGCATGTCTATGACAAATTAAAGATTCAAAGTCAGAATGATAAAGATAAGCTGACTCAAGCTAAAGAGATGGTTTACTTGAAAGGATTCTATGATGGTGTGCTACTTGTTGGGGAATATAAAGGGAAGAAAATTCAAGACGTTAAAAAGAATTTGCAAGCAAAACTTGTTGAGGAGAAGGGTGCTGTGATTTATTATGAACCTGAAAAGACCATCATGTCAAGGTCAGGGGATGAATGTGTTGTAGCTCTTTGTAATCAATGGTACTTGGATTATGGTAATGAAGAATGGAAGAGTCAGGTGGAAAAAGCTCTCGCTGCCATGAATACTTATCATGATGAAGTCAGGAAGAATTTCCAGGCCACTCTGAAGTGGCTACATGAGTATGCTTGCTCAAGGCAATATGGATTAGGTAGGTTGTTAAGGCTTTTGATAAAATGCACAAAGATATATGTTATGTTCTGTATGAATATGACATGTAAAACTTTTTTGCTTCAGGTACAAAACTGCCTTGGGATCAGCAATGGTTAATTGAATCTTTATCAGATTCTACTATTTACAATGCATACTACACAATTGCTCACTTCATACAGGGTGATACATTTAGAGGGAATAAGGAAAATGCTCTGAAAATAAAACCCGAAGACATGACTATGGCTGTTTGGGATTATATTTTCTTCAAAGATGCTCCTTTGCCAAAAAATACAAAAATTCCCAAAGCGTCACTGGACCTAATGAGGAAGTCATTCCAGTTTTGGTAAATATCCTTTTTTCCAACAGATTTGCACACACATTTTTTTTTTCATTTGATTTCCTAATTCATTTAACTTTTTATTTTGTTACAAGGTATCCAGTTGATCTGAGAGTGTCAGGGAAGGATCTCATTCAAAATCATTTAACGTTCTATATCTACAATCATTGCGCTATATGGCCAAAAGAAGAGGACAAATGGCCCAAAGGGATCAGGGCTAATGGGCATCTTATGTTGAACTCTGCTAAAATGTCGAAGTCCGATGGAAACTTCTTAACGCTCACTGAGTCCATTGACAAGTTCAGTGCGGATGGAATGCGTTTAACTTTAGCAGATGCTGGAGATTCAGTTGAAGACGCGAACTTTGTTGAGAACACTGCAGATGCTGCGATTTTGAGATTGTACACTTTCATTGAATGGGTGAAAGAAATAATTGCAACAAAATCTACTCTGCGTACAGGTATCTATGTTCATTTATCAAGTAGTGTGTATACTATGATAGATAGATTAGATAATTACAATAGGTTGTGATAAACTAATCTTCACAACATATCATGCATCTAGTTACCTATAACGATAATTTTCGTTAATGATGCTGTAAGCAACATTTTTCAAACTTATATAGACTTTAATTATTGACTTATATCAATAAGCTTTAAAATGTTTGATTGCAGGAGAGCACAACTTCCACGATAAGGTATTCGTGAGCGAAATGAACACCAAAATCAATCAGACTAATGACAACTATTGTAAGATGCTGTTCAAGGAAGCTTTGAAGACTGGTTTCTTTGAGCTTCAAGCAGCGAGGGATAAGTACAGGGAGTTGTGTTCAGAAGGTGGCATGCACGCTGACCTTGTGACGCGGTACATTGAGACACAGGCGAAGCTCATGTCGCCTATTTGTCCACACGTTGCTGAACATGTGTGGGAGCTGTTGGGCAATGTAAGTGTTTTGAATGACCTTAATAATTTTTCTTATGTTCATAATGTACCTTTCCTTACTGTGGGTCTTATTGTATTGCCAGAAAACAAGTATACTCCACGAGCTCTGGCCAGTCGCAGGCGACATCGATGAAACATCGATCAAAGCCAGCAACTATTTGATGGACGCGGCGCATTCCTTCCGTATCTACTTGAAGAATCATTGTGCAGTGAAAAAGCCTAAAAAAGGAGAGGCTCCGAAACCAGAAAAGAAACCAAATAAGGCTATTATTTGGGTTGCCAAGGAGTATCCCAAGTGGCAGCATGTTATTTTGACTACTATGAAAGAATTAAATGGAGTAAGTTGAAGTTATTACAAAACCTAATATGTTTTTCTTTTCTATCAACAATACCTTAATTATATCTTACGTTTTTCAGCCAAATGGTCTTCCTGACAATAAGGAGATATCCAGCAAGCTGGGTGCTATACCAGAACTTAAAAAATACATGAAACGAGTTATGCCTTTTGTGCAAGCAACCAGAGAAAATATGGAGCGCATTGGCATCGAAGCTCTGTCTGTGGGACTGCCCTTCGATGAAGCTGTCATTCTCTTGGAAAATAAACCGTATTTACTAAACACTTTAGATGTAAGTGAATTCTCTCTGCTATTAACAATTTGTATGTTAGATTCATAAGAAAAAAGTAATGTAATGTTCCTTTAAATGTAACAACTACTAAAACTGTCTAATTTAGTGAAATTATTTTTCAGCTGGACTCAATAGAAGTAAAATATACGGATGACCCAGAAGCCCCCGAAAAGACAAGGGAAGACTGCGCGCCGGGTCAGCCTCACGTGTCGTTTAGCGTAGAGACAGGAGTGGACGCCACGTTCATCAACCCCACTCCACACAACGGACTGTTCACAGTCTCCGCCACACTCGCTGATGGGGACACCATCGAAAGAGTGAAGGCCAAGATCGCAAAAGAAGTAAAGGCGATAAAAGGTAAGAACATTTTATAAACAACTGATCTGTTTATTCAAATTTCTTATAATACACAATTCAATAACAAATAGCGTAATATCGACTACAATTTTGTATCTTTCAAGGGGCAAACGTTAAACAATTTATAATAATATTGATGTACTACTGCACTGTGCATGAATTGGTGTAATAAAATTTTTCATCTTTCTAGATTTAAGCAGCCTAAAAGTGTGGAGATATAAAGACCCTATCGTAGGCCCCAGGACAATCCCTGTACCCGGAGACCATGAGAACAAATGTATAGTATTAGACGATACAGCTGTACTGAAGGTGGATGTGAATGCAGTCACCGTGGAACTGGTCTCCAACGGAAAGAACCTGCCTGTTGGCACCAAACTAGTTTATACATACGAAAAATAATTCTGTTCTTATATAGGAATAAATTATTTATTGTCATTTTAACGATGATTTATTATTGCCATTAATTTAGAATGAAATGACCCTGGTTTGTATAATCTATGCTGTGGATTGCATTGATTTTGTGTAAAATAACAGTTGCGCCGTTGATTCGCTTAATAAGTAAAAAAACTTTAGTTGCAGTAATACTTGTATTGCTGCAGCGAACGTTTTTGCTTGTTCGAGTATAAATAGATTTATTACATAATATTGTATAATGACATAATAAAATAGTCAACAAGAAGCAAATAGCTAGCTAAGTGGGTGCGCTGGGTGCAAACAGTCGTTCTAGCCCGGCGCCCTCCGGAGTGTCGATGGCACTGCGCGGCTTGTCCTTCACTATGTGCATTGTTGGCAAGTCCAGGATATACACTTCTTTCTTGAACAGCTGGCCCACATTGCGACCGATTAGCTGAAATAAGGATAAGAAACAATAAGGTCAAGACTTAAAACATACAGAAATAGGATTAACATAAGATAGTTATGTAATGAGCTTACCCTAGAAGTGATTTTCTTGAATAAGTCACGTTTGCTCTTATCAATTTTCGAGGTCTTTGTGTTGTGAGAGTTGAGTTTCTCGTCGAGTCGGTGGAGATCGTGCGCGTCCACGTCGGGGATGGCACGTAGTACTGCTACTATGCCGGGAAATAGAGGACGCAGGATCTCGTACGTCTGTAAATAGAACGAGTGTCGTAAACATATCATATGTTGTTTCTATCAGCGGTTTTGTCGAAGTTTGTGAAAATGTCCATTTGGTACTGATTGGTGGTACGCATGTGTGAAAATTTGTGCTTCGATTTCGGAATTGTTAGTAATAAGATGGTTATAATTGGACCTATATGCGATTTATCTATGAATAAAAATGAATTTCTGTTCATTAGTCTCGCTAAAACTCGAAAACTGCTATACCGATTTGGTCTTAAATTATTTGTGGAAGTCCAGGGAAATTTTAAAAATAATTATGTTTGAGGCGGTACGAAGTTTGCCGAATGAGCCTAGTGACATGTTAAAAAATAGTACTCCACTCGAGGGCCTTTTCCTATGCTGCACAGTAGCTAATGTACTGCTAAATAAATATAGTCTACCGCCTAGACTCTGGTATATCATGTAGGATAGTTAAATTATAATGGTGTATGTACCTGCACAGCGAGCGCGAGTAGCGCGGCCTGGTTGGCGTCGTGCTGGCCGTGCAGGCGCAGCGCCTGCAGCACGGCGGTGAGCGCGCCGTTGGCCTCGCCCGCGCCCACGCGGCCGGCCGCCAGCGCGCCGCGCAGCGCCGGCAGCGCCAGCGCCGTGCCGCGCAGCGACGACGGAGAGTCGTTCCAAGTTAGGGCACGGATCACCTGGAAATATAAGTACATACATAACTTCACGCCTTCATCCATGGAGGTAGGCAGAGACTATGAAACTCTTATTGCTATGATTCTTACATACTAAATTAATTAAAAATCGCGGGCTACTCTCGTGAAAATACTGAGAAAAGCTCTACTAGTTTCGAAGCACAGAGGGGTTCTTCCTCGTGAGCAGGGTGCACGGTCACGGCGATGTCGCGCAGCCTACGCTTTAGAATAGAATTTTTCCAGCCTTCGCTTTAGTTAGAATATGTCTCACGATAAATATTATAAAAACCTTCTTACATACCCCTTTCGCTTCATCAACAGTCATCAGTCTTTTCATGCAATAACAATATCATAAAATGTATTCAAGTTGATTATAAAATTTTTGAATAAATTACTATGAATATTTTAAAAGTACAATAAGATGAAGTATTAACATGGGAGATCACCGCTTCGGCACGATGAACGAACGTGACCGAAGTAACATCACGGCCTAACAGAAAAGTTGTATATCACAGTGTGGGTGAAGACTAATTTCCTCTCTCCAAAGGCTAGAAACACACTTGTAAGAAGAACAAGCAGTCTTGTGTTGGTGTCTATTTGCCATATCCCATAAAAGAAGTATTCTGTCTCACCGTGTATAGAGTGGCGGGGCCGGCGCAGGGCTGCGCCAGTACAAGCGCGCCGAGCTCGGAGACATGGTCGGGCGCACGTTGCTGGGCGCCGCCGCTGCCCGTCGTCGTGTCGTCCTCCATCTCGTCCACTGTACTCTCCATGCTTAACCCACCGTCTACTAGTGATATCTGTAATGTAACAAGTGCAGATATTAATATTATTGTGTATTTTAACCAACCCAGTAAGAGATTTACATGTAATTAACGCATTCAGTGCCCATGACGCGTCTGTGCGTTTTGTGACACGACGCTATGTGCCCGGGACTCAAATATGCGTTCTATTCATTTGACCCTTTTTTTACCTGCTGCCCGTCGACGCGTCCGAGGGTCTATTGTTTCGAAACCCATATTTACACATATATACTTCCTTATCTGATTTCTTTGATAAAGGTCATTACACACTTTGTACGAATTATAAAAAAAACTTATTCTACTACTACTACCAATGCAATAATCAATAATTTTGTTCAGCCGTTTCGAAATATAAATATACTTAGAACAATTGAAAAAAGAAATATCCACGTAAGACTACGATCACCTTTGGTGGTATTTTTTTTCAATGTTATCTCGATCATCTCTTTTTTTTCCAAGAAACCTAAAATTTCACATAACACATACATACGCACAATAGAATCACATTAGTTTGCTGATAACGGCAATACAATGCACGGCGGTGCCTTTGAAGATTTTAAATACCGTATCCACCAGGCGCTATAGCCAACTATCGAAATGTTTTAGGATAAACCTATACGAGATAATAAGTACCTTACTAAATATCTATGGTGAAAGACTATAATTTATATATACTGGCATCGCGTCGTGACATACGTTTAAAAATCCAACATCAACCTCCTGTTTTTGAAGTAGGTTAATTAGTATACTAAACCCATCCCCTAAATGAAACAGAAGTTTTTCTGAAAACCACATCAAAATCGGTTCAACCAATCGCGAGATAATCGCGTACAAACAAACATACAGGTCAAACTAAGAACCTCATTTTTTTTAAGTCGGTTAAAATACAACAATGGTCTAAATATAAACCTACTTACAATTATAGAATTATTACGTTCATCCTTAGTTTATATTTAGATACATTTTTCAATTTCACTACATAAAATAAATAATCTTATGGATTATAAATTCCATTACAGTGTGTCATGACCCTAACTTTTATCTACAGATACATAATATTCTATCGTATTTTCGTAAGTATATAACAAACGCACAGACGCGTCACGGGCACTCGCCGAGAGTCGAACGGACGCATATATGAGTTTCGGGCACACGGTGGGAGCCGTAAGAACGCGTATATGAGTTTCCGGCACACGAAAAGGGCAAATATTGAACGCAATAGTGCGTGCGGGGCACTGTAGGATGTCTTATAATTCGGGCACTGGAGAAAATCCACTGGGCAGTGAATGCGTTAACCTCAAAACTTGAAATATAGTTCAGTTCAATCACATTTTTCCGAAATTTCTCAATAGAAATACTATCACCCTCTAGTGACTTGGAAAAGACTGGTGATGAGTTGGAGTTACATTTGCATGCCCCTTTAGATAATAAAAGCATTATTGTTACGTTACACAAAACAAATAATAATAACAATGAAAAACATCTTTCAAAGTCAAAATAATTTATTTCAATTAGATCAGGAAGGCAAGTTTAAACGTCAACAAAAAAAAGTGAAGCTAGTTACACCGACTTCTAACCTATCAGTGGGTGTGTAAGCAATAAGTATGTATGACCTGACTATGAATAATACCTAGTTATTTTTTCCTTTTCAGTTTTTACTTTTCGTTTGTCTTTAGTTTTTGAAGTCGGTTTTTTAAACGCAGTTTTTTATCAATCAGGTTTACAATACAATTCTCTAGTTACATAGTTTTATTAGTTCGATTGCGCGAGAACAATGTAACACAAAAAATCTTATTATGTGTACTTAGATTGAAAACTTGTAGGTATCCAGATACAGTGAAATCTATAACAGAACGTCAATATACAGAAAAATAAGTATCAATTAAGTACTAACCTTGAGGACTTCAAGATGTTCCCTAGTAAGGTTCCTGACGAGGATATCTTCGAGTACTTCCTGTGACTCGCTGCCACCTTCCTCCTCCAACTTGCCGGATTCATAGAGAGACGAAATATAATCCCAACGCAACGAGAGATGGGACAACACTGAAAGGTACATTTTAAAATTATTTATTACTATTTTTAATTTCTTTATAACAACGTATACAATTGGCATACCTCTTCTACCTTTATATTCATCAAATCTATATGCATGCTCGTCGATTGAAGGCGCTCTTAATTTCTATAACATATTGAACTATGCTATGTAAAGATAAATCAAATACTTACTGAAAGGAGCAAAATGTTCTAGTAAAGGCAGGGCTACATCTGCGTAATGAGCTGGCGGGCAATGATGTAGTAGCGGCTTTAATGCATTTCGTACGATGGGTCGTAGCCAATGGTCCGGCAAGTATTCGAGTCCGTAGAATAATGAGTCTATGAGGAAGTTGGCGAGGCCGGGTACTGCGTATAGCTCGCGGCCGAGGGTCCCCGCCGCAGCGCCCACTAGGTGACACACGTTTTCGTGTAACGTGTGGAGAAAGCTTTGCATGCGCTCCTAAGGAAATAATGGGTTAGATTTAGTACTTGAATCAAATCATTTTTAAAAATTTTTACTCTTAGAAGATTTTCGGTAAACATGTTAGTAAATCACTGACTGCCTCGTTGGCCGAGTGGTCGTAAGTGCGACTGCCGGGCAAGGGGTCTCGGGTTCGATTCCCGGGTCGGGCTGGTATAAGTATTACTGGTTTTTTTTAATTATTCTCAGTAGTAGCCCGGAGTCTGGAATTGTGTCCGGTATATGGCGATAGGCTCACCCGCTATTACATGGGACTCATAACATAAATAGTGTACAGTGGTATAATGTTCATCTCTGCCTACCCCTTCGGGGATAAAAGGTATATGTTATGTAGTAAATCAGTTACGTATTGAACCATAAAAACCAATACGTATGTATGTGTATTGTGTGCGACTAGTTGATTGCGAGACGTCAAAATTGTTAATGATTAACTGCTTGAAAGCCTGTATATGAGACACAATAGAAAATACATTGTGTCTCGCGTGGATACACGTTTAGACACACGACAAGATAAAGACTCTAATTTGGCTTCAAACTAATCGAATCTCTCAGTAAGCACACACCTTTCTCTGCATTTGCAATAACTACGTGTGTAACAATTTAAGTGTACCGTACCTGTGGGCGCGCATGTTGCGTGGGCTCGTGGTCCCTCTGGCCCAGCAGGTTGCGTCGCTCGGCGGCGGGCGGCGCGAGCGCGCGCGCGTGCGCGGGGTGGCGCGCGGCGGCGGGCGCGTGCAGCGCGTGCAGGGCGCGCGCGAGGGCCAGCGCGGCGGGGAACAGCGGCAGCACGTGCGCGGCGCACGGGTTCCTCCACACGGGGTTGCCGGCGGCCGTCACTCCGCCGCCGAAGCCGCCGCGCGCTGCCTTGTCTGGGTCGCTCGGGACGCATGTGCGTTTTACTACGCCTGTGTTACAAAGATAGTTAAGTTAAAATTCAATAAAAGAAAGATTGATGACTGTTAATGAAGCGAAAGAGGTATGTAAAAATCGTAGTAATTGACGTTCCTTAGTCTCTGCCTACCCCCATGGGAGACAGGCGTGAAGTTATGTATGTAAAAATTCAATATGTTATAACTCCTGTTTTTAAGCTAGCTGCCTCATCGCAAGTGCCACTGCTGGGCAAAGGGTCTCGGATTCGATTCCCGGGTAGGGTCAAGTATTACTGGATTTTTCAATAGTAGCACGGAATCTGGAAATGTGCCTGGTATATGGCAATAAGCTCACCCTGTATTACATGGGACTCATCACATAAATAGTGAAAAAGTGTTACATTGTGCAGTGACATTAATTGCCGTAACATGCACCTCTAACATGCCTACCCCCCTTCCCTTCAGGGATAAGAGACGTGATATTATGTTATATTATTTCTTTCCAGATCTCCAAGTTCTCATTAATGAAAAATTCAATGCAAACTCAACAGTATAAGCAACGACGTTTTAGCCAATTATATCTCCATTTTGGAACCAACACCTAACTTTACTGCTGAACAAAACTATTTTAACGCACCTAAAGTACATGTGGATTAATTGTCCTTGAAGTAAATGCTTTAACATACCCAATAACAATGTAAGCGCATGTAACAGAGTGCGTCTTGCGCGTCCACAGTCGTCCTCGTCTTCAGTGGGCGGCGCGTCCAGACCGATCAGTCGGGTCAGACCTTCCGCGCTAGCTAAGTGAGGGCTTAGACTAGCCCAGCGCTCACTGCAGTCGCCAAGAACCTAGAAATAAATATCATTTTTATACAAACGTGTAAAAAAATTGAAAAATTCATAGAGGTCACGCAAACTTCGTAAAAACCTCTTTCCTTATTTTTCTGGTTTAAGTTGTACCTAAGGTCTTGTATTTATTTGCTTACACTGTGTACAACGTTTGTTCTTCCAAAAACTTTTTCTTTTCAATCGATTTCAAAAAAGGGGGATTCTCAATTCAAATTTCTCTTTTTCTGTACTTAATCTGTCAAACACCAAGCGGTCACCGGTGACCGCGACCTATTGTTCTTTAATTGTGTCTATAAAACCGGTACTCGACGAGTTAAATTACTTTTTGTCGCCTTCTTTTCCACGACTTTAATTTATTTGGTGTAGGTACATTTAAAAATGGCAGACATACCTGAGCTACCAAAGCGCTCTGTCTCTCATAACAACAGAAGTGGTTAGAGACGAGCAGTAGAGCCTCTTGTAGTGTAACACTCTCCACTGCACTGAGGTCGGGCCGGGCCAGCGCGGCGCGGCAGAGCTCGTGTAGACGACCAAACACAGGTAAAAGGAGTAGTGGGTACTGGAAAATAAAATATGCAACAATGTGTAAAGCTGTACTGAACTATTTTTTTTTTATTTAAGGGGGGAATATCACCGAATGACTTCTCCCGCTTGAGTGAGGCGGGAGAGAGTGTTATACTCTTATTGACTAAAAACCACACCATTCCTACTCTTGCACTTCGATCCGGAACCCTGGTAACCTTTTACGCTTTCCGCGGCTCGGCATCAGCCCTATTGGGCACCATCCGAAACACCTTCGAAAACCAGCAATAATTCTTTGCTCGATCCGGATCGAACCCGAAACCACTTGTTCGGCACTCGTACTTGCGACCAATCGATGAATGCAGCAACAAACTGTTACTGTTATGCTGTTTTACCTCAATAACTTTTTAAAGTAAAGTTAAAAATAATGTATTACAAATCTTATACTATTATATAAAGCGAAAGAGTTTGTTTTTTTGTTTGTTTGAACGCGCTAATCTCCGTTGAATAATTATTTTTGTGTTGGATAGCGCATTTATCAAGGATGGCTATAGGCTATAAAACATCACTCTACGACCAATAGGAGCTGAGCAGAGCGTGTGAAACCGCGCAGAAGCGCTACCGACCGCTAGACCGCGCTAGTCACAAGATAAAACAGATAACCATAAATTTTCGTATGTAGCTGTCTATTCTCACAAACTAACCTTAGATCCCAGTTTGACAAGCAGTCCTGCTGCATGTCGTCTCACATTCTTGACACTGCGCGAGCGTCGGTTGTCGGGCGGGGTGCCCTCGTACACCAGCGCCGCGAATATCTTGTCCAGCACTCGAGGGAGTAAATCCGCTCCGGCCACGCCCACTCCTGGACCTGGGTAAAGAGTAATGACATTATTATGACAGCACATCAATCGATTTAGAATACTACAGCTTTAGAATATAACATATATACATATAACATCACGCCTTTTATCCCCGAAGGGGTAGGCAGAGGTGCACATTATGCCACTGTACAATATACCACCCACTTTTCACTATTTATGTTATGAGTCCCATGTAATAGGGGGTGAGCCTATTGCCATATACCGGGCACAATTCCAGACTCCGTGCTACTACTGAGAATTTGTTAAAAACCCAGTAATACTTTACCCGACCCGGGAATCGAACCCGAGACCCCTTGCCCGGCAGTCGCACTTGCGACCACTCGGCCAACGAGGCAGTCATTTAGAATTTAAATATTTTGCAATCAAGTCTGTAAGGGCTAGTTAGATCCTTACACTGTAGTTTTGTAGTTGTAGAAGATCTAGTAGCTAGCACAGAAAAAGTCATAAGTTATAGTTACTAGTTGAGTTGCGTATATTAAGTTTGGTAAAAGTTACAAATAGAGTTGTCGTATTTCCTTGCTTGACGTTGGTTGGTAGATAAAGTACTACTACTACGATTACTGTAATACGTTAAATTATATACATATATGCTATGCATTGGGTGACGCGCATTCAATATTGCTGCGTCGACTATACGTGCTACCTCCGGTTACGAAATCGTACAAAGTCGAAAATAACAACTTTCTTCGTATGCTTTCGTAGTTGAGGATCATGCATGCCATACCGCGTGACATTTGATTACCTTATAATATAATTTTCTTTCACTATCCATACTTTGCCTACCACTTGTTTAAGTCATATAATAATCTATATATATAAAAGAAAGTCGTGTTAGTTACACCACTTATAACTCAAGAACGGCAGAATAGATTTGGCTGAAAATTGGTAGGGAGGTAGCTTAGAGCCAGGAGACCGACATAGGATACTTTTTGACTAACATTTTTTTTTTACTTTTTACCGAAAATCACGAACGGGGACGGGAAAAAATGGGATTACGCGTACGAAGTCGCGGACAGAAGCTAGTATTATAATAAATTAAATCTCGTTATACTCACCAGCGAGTTGACTATAAGCGCAGCTGAGGAACACGAATAGCGCAGAAATAAAGGACAGCAGTAGTGACAATATGAGAGGCGCGGTCGGGGAACATACTACACAGCGCTGTAGTAACTGCAAGCCTTCTACCACGCTGGGACGAGGATCAGCTTGGAGGAGCCGAGATAGTACCATGTCCAACACCTGTGGGGGAAACAAATGCAACGTTTTACAGTTTTCTTACAAAGAATAAGAAATACACTGTTTTTTTACACTGTTAATGTTATTGTTAAGTTTCTATGTAGAAAAACAAAAAAAAAAGCGCAAAATGACTCACGTAAAAATTTGACAAGGTCACTTGACTGGTTTCAAGCTCCGCTAGGGATTCATAGTTATATGATGATAACGACGTCGTGCAATGCTTCTCTTTGCTACGAGCCTCTTGAGCGAGTAGAAATTAGTCGAGTAACCTCGTCAAAAAGTTACCATACATAAACAATTTTGTGATGTGATGATGCAATTTATTAATTATATTTTATTGTTCTTATTTTTTACGTCATTGTAACGAAAATGTGAGTTATAAATCCATGCGTTACCTGAGATAAAGCCTCCCATTCTATATACATCGGATGATGTGTGTCCATCTGTTGCGGACAAGTATCGACCTTGTCGAGCGCTGCACGCGTCCATTGTTCCACGTAACCCCAAGTTACCAATGGTGCAGCTGTCATGCAAAATCTGCAAGTATTTATTTATACATAAATATTTTTGCTTTATTCGTAATTGTACAATTTAAGTTTCTGCAGATGCAAGAAAAAATTGTCCTATTCTAGAATATTTTTTACATCGTGGGTTTTACATACATATACTAGGACCCGCCCCGGCTTCGCACGGGTGCAATATGCATGTATTATACATATAAACCTCTACTTATTAAAAAAACCGCATCAAAATCTGTTCCGTAATTTTAAAGATCTGCATACATAGGGACAGACAGACGGCGGATAGCGACTTTGTTTTATACTATGTAGTGATATGCAAAACTTTGAAGAATATAAAGTCTGTGTGTCAATCCACGGACCCACTCAATCTACTGCGTCAACTTCTTATATTCATATAGATAGAATATCTACTTATTAACAGAATGCAAAAGTGGCAAATGAACCTACAAGATGTTATGTTGTACTCACTTGAAACTTTCTAATATTTCAGTGCGACATCGTGCGAAGAAAATGGCGAATTCCTGTTCGCTGTCGTAGTCCATACAAGCGTAGGTAACGGCATCATTTGCATTGTTCGCTCGTGATGAAGGATATGTCACCTAAGGGAAATAGACATAAAGTTCAATGTTAGACTTGACTTATTTTTAGTGACTATTTTACACTAGGTTATGTCACACATTTCCAGACAGTATTTGTTGAACTATACTAAATGTAACACATATTTTCGTAAGTTATTAGTCTGATAATATAACAAGGGACTCCATGAAGGACTTCCATGGCTTACTACAGAAAACTTTCGAAAATAGAACTTCGTCTAACCCAGGACCTGACATCACTTAAATGACGAATATTTGAAATTATAGTGAATAATATTATCTAATGATTCTCTTACCTTAAGTACTTTAGGGGCAGAAGCTTGCAACCAGCGAGGTACAATACCTAATACATATGGCAGCTTAGATATCTGTTCATGTTTCAAGAATGCTAGCCACACCGAGTTGGCAGTATGTGCGAGAGTAAGCGATGGATGTGACGTCAGCAACAACATGGTTTCTAATATCACTGGCAGCCAAGCCTCCGCGTCCGTGGCGTATGACCATAGAGATGTTAGCTGTTGAGCTAAACCTGCTAGGACCTGTGTGGAGAAAAAATATTTTAAGTATATTTTATTTATAATGTAAAAACTAGGGTAGGGCAAGGCTTGCCATAGTCTGTGGAAACACACAAAGAATTGTTCTGCACAGGAATCGAACTCGCAATACGTTGCAGCCATTTGCCTTTAACGCCATGACAACCAATCACAATTATGAGATTAATCTTATAATTATGTAGATAAGGTAAGATTAGGTAAGTTGGTATGTCTGTGTTTGATATGTAATAAACAGGGTCGTATATAGCGCCGTATCTGCCCGGACTACGTGCGTAACCAAAAACAATCTTTACTTCCAAATTATTATTTTATTTGAGTAATCTCAAATGTCAAAATAAATGATATTTTATTCAAGTATGCATCCAAAGGTTGACAAAAACTTTAGAAAAACTAAAGTAGGTAATCATAGTCCGATACTTTGGGCAGCGGGCAGCCTGAAAAGTTTTCCGATTTTCAAAGTAAAATTGTTAGTATTTTATGCATATTTTTTTTTCCTCTGGTGTAAAATCTTTATCCACTAGGGCCCCTAAACAAATTTTTATTCGGTGCCCCGCCAAGGCAAACTACGCCACTATCTTGACTGATTATTTCATAAAGTATTAGCAGCCCGCCTCATTTTCGCCCGGTGTTCCCCGAGAATGTGTCGATATTATCTTTCACGCAAACCTTGTCCTTACGATACAAACGATACTGCTCAAATTGATTTTTTGCATTTGATAATTAATCTATTTACCAAGAAACCCGATAAAACATTACGCTACGAATAATAGAAGCCGAATAGCAGATGAAATAGCATAGGTGAAGCTAGTATAGGTGTAAGTATAATAATTTACCTGTGAGAACTTTTTCAGGAACAAATAGTGAGCCTCATCGACAGTATTGATGCTAGCGACCGCAGCGCGATGCATGCATGTAATGGCGTCCTTACTAAATAATATTACGAGCGGTTTCTTTTCCTTAGTCTGAAACACATTAGTTTATATTAGATACACAATATTTTACGAATGTTTAGATAATATTTATATTTTTTTATTGCCTACACGCACGAAGCGCTTCGCTTTAAGCTTTCTTGTGCGTACTGCTAAAGAGTGGAATTCTTTGCCAGAGTGTATTTCCTGAAGGGTATAACCTGGGAGTCTTCAAGGCCTGAGTGAATAGGTTGCTTATGGGACGACGTGCTCTATCGTAGACCGCACCATCGCTTACCACCAGGCGAGATAGTGGTCAAACGTCGAACCATCATATATAAAAAAGAAATATGTGTGCAGTACGCGCATATTCCTTGTAACTATGATGATAAGATGGTTTAAAAATAAAATATTATAAGAGTTAATACTTACAGATCCTTTCCTATTTACGATTTGCAGTAGACATTCAGCTGCAGGCAGTTGGAACACATCGTCTTGCAATAAAATGCAAAGAATTTGTAACAAGCGGCCATTGTTCATGACAACGTGATTTATGGACACCCACTCAACGTATCCAGTTAGTGTCAGTAATACAACCTACAAAAAGAATACACATTAAATAAGGTACAATGTAAACAGCATAGGGCTTATGCCCTACATTACTTCTGTATCTAGAATTATTACAATCGAATTAGACTGCACTGCTTCAAACAGAAATCGAATCAAAGTCGTAGTCTTATAGTCGCGCATGCAACTACTCGACCATCAAAGCAGTAAAATGTTAAACACCAAATTATTCGACTCTAGTCTACATTTTCGCGTCATCTACATAAATCAACCTCTTTACAGAGGTCATATATATTTTCTTAATAAAATATTTATTCTTACCTGAACCACCTGCCCATGACTAGCAGCGGCAGCATAATCTCCTGCCGTGGTCTTCTCTCTAAACTCCTGCACGTGCATCTCAATGAGCCGCATGAAGAACGCAAATATTTCAGACATGTTGCTAGTTAGACCTTGGTTTATATCCTTCCGTCGCTGGTGGTTTTCCAAAGTCTAAATAAAAGAAAAGAGATTTTAGAAGCATATTATTACTTGCTTACCAGTGCATTCGCTCGAGTTATTGGGATTGAAAATTGGCCAATATGTTGGATATAATATGGCATAATATTTAAAATGGAAATAGGCGTTAGCCTACAGAGGGTTACCTCTATTACATGGGATTCATAACATAAATAGTGAAAAGTCGGTGTTACATTGTACAGCGGCATTAAGTGCGTGATGGATAAAAAAGGGCGTGATGTTGTTATATTATGTTTATTTATTTATTTATTGAATGGTGAATCAACAGCTACATCACATAGATTTAGCATAAAAATTAGTACCTAACATTGAGCCACTTACATGTTGGATATAACATGTTCATTACACCAGACAATAATTTGCCTATCTCTGTGACTTTCATTCGGATCCATTCATCCATTTTGCATCAAAGAATAATAAACATAAATCCTACATATAGACTTTTTTTTTAAGGGGTAAAATCATCGAATGACTGCTCCCGCCTGGGTGAGGCGGAAGGGAGTGTCAGATTCTTACTGACTAAAAACCACCCCGTTCCTTCTCCTGCACGTCGAGCCGGAGCCCCGGTTACTCGTTAGGTTCTCCGCGACATCCTACATATAGACTTCCTCGCATACTTTTGCATTGAGAATATAAGTAGGTTAGTAGGATTTCTCATACATTAGAATTATTTGTTAGTAGCTATCTGTTATTACAACAAATTTAAGTGCAAAGACAAAGATAAGGCGTTAAAATATTACGCCTACAATGTATTATGTAAATTGTAACAATTTCTATGGTAATGTAGAGGTGCTCCGAATTGTTTGGATTATTGATTGGTTACGGTTTAGTTTTATAGTTTTATTAAATTGTGATTGAGTGATTAAAATTATCAGTATGCACCACTGAAACTACTGGTCGAAAAAAGCTCAAATTTAGCATTTATGTTTCTTAAGGTGTATTGGGAATAAATAAAAGAGACAATGACCTTGTTAGATGAATTTGTTTCGGCGTTTCTTTTCAAAGTGGCCGGTCGGCATTTCCTAACTGACTAGGTACTTAAGAAATGCCGGCCCTCAAGATTGACATGTAAGTGTTACTTTGTAACATATTTGCAGAAATAAATATGATTTCATTACATTTTATCATTTCAAATGATATAAAATTTTCAATTTTTTTATAAAAACAAAATTAAAATACATTTTATGTGTGAAAATCTATTACCTATTTAGCCTTTTCTCTTCTCATAATATGTAAGTAATTAGTGCATTGAAAAATATACTGCAGATAAGGAGCTATTATGACATTAGGTAGTTTATTTCCATAAAATTTTCGGAAAATATGCAGCTATTGGGAACATTTTATGATAGTGTACCCAAAATTCGACTTCCAAAAAAAATTGCATATAATCTGTGATGCTTAAGAAATTGGTGACTGACTGACTGTAACATTCAAATCTATTTCAGTTCCCACAAAACAAGGTGTGACATCATCCATGCAGTTTGTATACAAATATTACGTAGCTATAGATAAGTGTCGAAAATGAATCAAATGACGAGTTTCGAAGGTTAGTCGTGTCCTCACATTAAATATTCATTAGCAAATGGGTAGATAACAGCTGTTATCTAACTTTTGAAATGGGTACTTCCATAATTAATTTCAAAGATTATTCTGTGTAAATATATGTCAAAAGAAAGCTAATAATGATAATACCCTACTCCAAGAAATAAAACTGTTCATTATAAAAAAAATTTTGGGAATGTTATAGGGAGTTTAGAGGCTTTTGAAAAATGAAGATAGATGGATTTTTTGAATAAAAGACTAGATGGACTGAAACAATACCATCATAACAAATTAATCAGACCATTCACTAAAACTATAAAGTACCACTCAATGAAAACTTCAATAATACAATTTGAAGGTTGAACTTACCTGTAAAATAGCTACATCTTCAGCCAACCTCAAGAATACATGTAGTACTATCTGGGTGTGCCTATGTCCCCTGGAGCATGCATCACTCAACTCTGCCAGTAAAGTAGGCCACTGCTGAGGCCACTCTCGTTTTATCATCTCAACAATTACACGGGCAAGGGCATCATTCAAGTGGCTTGTGTCCCAACCACCGAGATATAGGAGTTTCATGGCATTTTCCTGTTCAAATGTAATGTGAGTCAGTATACTGTATAGAAGCTACAGGTGACTTGGTTAAAATCCTTTTTTAGAATTTCAACTTTATTTGTTTTGAAATAATGTTGACAGATTCGTTTAGGCAATAAACTTATTTAAAATACAATGGCTATTTTAACAAACTTCTGTGCTTTTCAACTATTGAAATCTAATGAATATTACCTTGATGAATATTTTTTCTGCTTGAGTTATCTGTGTCCATCTATACTTTACAGTATGTTCCATCAACTGGAGGCCAAAATGTTTAACTCCAGGGGAATGCTGATTGCCACTGGCCAGCAAGAGACCAGCCTGGGCACACCATGGCGAGTTCTCTTTGAAGCTAAAAATAAAAAACATAACATTCTTTTTTTAAAATATAATGACTAACTTTTGTCTCTGGAAGAGATGTTGCAATATGTCATCAATACTAATTCAAGGTCAACTAATAAACCTTTTTTATTTACCCTATTTTTAAAATCAACAAAAATAATATCACCTTTCACAAGCATTATAGGCCTGGCTTCTTTCTTCATGGGAAACAGTGGGGATTAAAGTTAGCTCAACTGCTCGACTGAGTTCTTCTACTAAGAGAGCTACCTCCCCAGTAGGCTCGCTACCTACACCCACTACGTTCATTGCAGCTCAATACTACACCTAGAACAAAGTATTATTTACATTAACATATGGATATACCTGAAACATATTGATAATACAATAATAATTGTCGAATAAATATACATATACCTAATTAGATTCATTTGAGTTTTGCACTTAGTACCTAAATGCAACATTGATGTCATGTTGTTTATATTTTGTTAGTAACCTCTGCCTCTGACACATTTGCCTTTGTTTGTTTTTTCCATAGCTTAAGAAATAACAAAGAAAAAATTGCACTATTTTTAAATTATCTAATGCAGGTAACAATTGCTTAAATTAATGTTTTAATGATGTGATGCAATTTTCTCTCAGGCCATGACAAAGTTATTCAAAATAAAATATAATTTGAAATTGATGCAACATGGTAAAACTTCAAACTTACCAACAATATCCAAGAAAATAATCCCCATAGAATATTATTCACTGCATATCCTTTTTCTTGAGTCTGCAAGGCAATGAAAACTTTAAAATACAAATTTTAATTATTTTAGAACCGTAAATTAATATTTTTTTTCGTAAAACAAGATACGAATGCACCCGGTAGGGCATGGTAATAAAGAAAAAAAAATAAATGTATCAACGATAGTTGGAATTTTAATTACATTTTATAGTTAGGAACTATAATTGCGGTTATTATACTCAAATATCTGGAGGGAATTATTTAGAATTTCCGAAATAAAATTCAAAACATTAGAAACACCTCGTGTCCACTGAAAATGAATCGAATATTGACCACAGACTAAAATAATAAAGCTAGAGGTAGAGAGTGTTGCCTTTTTATGACTAAAAAATATTTCACAGCTGATTGACCATATTGCATTACTAAATAATAAAGCTGTGTATTATCATTTCTTAAAAAATATGCATAGTAATGTAATCACTATATATTAAATAATAAAGTAGAGATTTTAGGATAGGATTTCATTTCGTACATGCGCGAAAGGTTTTCCGGTCTCTTTCACTGACTTGACTGACGAGTGACGTCATTATTAATGTTGACACTTTGACACAGTCTTGTGAAACTTAGAACAAACATTATTTTGTATGGAGTCCGTAACATTCAGTGTACCAACATTCAGAAAAATGTTGAGGTACCAACACAACAAAACGAACTTGGTACTTAGTACGTCCGATAATTGACACAACATGGCTGCCGTCTTTGTGCAAATTTTTGTGTTGTGATTATTCTGTTTGTTTTTTCCTTTTTCCTTGTGATTTCGGAATTTAACCTAATAGAATAATTTATTTTATTGTGTGTTTAACGTTGAGTCGAGCAACTGTTCCTCCGTTTCATCTTCACGTGGTTTTATTGAGACATTGACTCTGTTAGTGTAAGTGATTCTTGTGAGATATTTGACTCTTTTATATTAATTTGTTATTATTACCTATTACCGAGACAGTGACTCTAAGTTTGTGTTTGTGAATACTTTGTACATCATTATGGGCAAAGGTCACAGACGTTGTGAAATTTGCCATACGAACGAATCTTGGCCTACTGCTAACAAACTATATTTTTCCCATTTTCATCTGGATCCAAATCGGTGTGTACCTACTTACTACCCATTGTTAATGGAAATGTGAATTAATAATTCAATTCATCGCTTATACGATACTTTCGAACCGTCAATTAAGATTAGCTGAATTCAAATAAAGTTTTAAAACATGAAAGGACCATGAGCACCTTGGTATGCAAATTGAATGTTCATCCGACAGAAATGAAATTTTTAGTATATTACGAGTTTATAATGTATGGAGTTGTTGAGAAAATCACACTTTAAATGTTTGGAATTTAGGTTATCAATCACTTAATTTCGTTAACTTCGTTAATGTTACAATCATCACTGTAGTACTTGAATTGATACATCAAACAAAACATCAAATCTTTTACCCACTGTAAAGGTACACAGAGATGTACGGTCGCAAGCAGGTTAACCTATTCTTTGCTGTCAAATTTATTACATTTCTAACTTATTGTATTGATATTGTCGAAAATCCCATTAATGACTGTATAATGACTCTACAATTATAAAAATAACTAACCTTTTGCGAGTTATGGTACTACCTGCTTATAAGGAGAACAATTTTATTTGTTTTTTAAATATAAACGTTAAGCCTCTGTATACTTCTGTATTAAGACATATGTAGGCAATAATCAGTTTTTGGTTTTTACAGTTTAATACGGTCACCAATTACAGATTAACCCACATTTTTTAATAATAAAGTTCTAACTTAAGACTAAAAAAAATAATGTGCATTAATATTCGAACACTGCACACAACTATAGATGTTGCTAATGCTGGGGTAAAATTTCTTTAAGCGAGCGAGTGAGGTTTTTGTGTTACATGTAAATAATGTTTATTAGCATCATCGTGAACACAGAAGTGAAATTTAAATGCATGTCCTTATTGGAATAAAATTCTTTAAATGCTTATTATCCACCTGTAAGACCGTTTTGTAAATAAATATAAAGTAGTAAGAGTATGATACAAATTTTTATGTTTATATATTTTGCTATTACATAGTTTGGTAGTTATTAAGAGTAAACATTAATTTTTTGTGTTTCAGTTGCCGAGACTGTCTAAAAGCAGTTGAAAATGAAGAATTGGTTCATCTACCAATAGAAAAATTGCATGAGAACCGAAGTGTTTGTGCTAACCACTTTAGAAAACAGGATTACAACAAAAAAGGCAATCGTCTGAAAAGAAATGCAATCCCAACTTTAAATTTGACGGCCTTACTTCTCACTGATGTACAATTGGCAGAATTTCCACAGCATGTGTTTAAATATTCAGGATCAAAAGGTAAATTGAATAAATAAATTCTACAGTTTATTTTTACCATAAACCAGTTGATCTGGCTAGCATACATCAATTAATATTATATTATGTCAATCTTCTGTTTTGTGTGAATTTTCTGTTTCATAACAATCCAAATCTTCCCTTAAGTGTTATGAATATTTCAAGTCCAACATTGGCAATCATTTACGAAGTCGAGAACAGTAATTCATTTGTATACTTACATCACCGGAAAATACTAAATTCCGTAAGTTTATAAATTTTTTAGGAAAGGACAGATTTGCGAAACAAATGTATGAAGTCTGGGCCTACCCCTCAATATCAACATGTCAAATGTCATCAGATAGGATTTTTAAAATTAAACATTAGTTACTAATATACCTATGGTAAAATGTCTGTGGTTTCAGAGGTACAACATCCTAAAGTCTAAGTATTCTTTATGATTCAAAACTCAATATCTTTATTGTTTTTCCACATTCTAAATAAAGGTATTACATTAAATTATGGACCCCATTGAGCACAGCACGAGCTAGGACGCATGCATGCATTAATATTCAAACAATTTATCTCTTACTAAATATAACTTTGACAATTTAAATTATTATTCTAATCTTAGAATTACTATTGGATTAATCTCAACTGCATACTTCTAACTTACCTACTTACATCTATTAACTGTTGTACATTAATGAACTTAGCAGATGCTCTAATATTCTTTATTTAAATATCAATCAACTCATTATGTAATATGTATTTATTTCATTATAATATTTTTTTCTATTCTTATTTACTTACATGAATTTATGTTTTTATTGAATGTAAAATATTATTATGTTTTATGTAAAATACGTGACTAATGTTTTAAAAGAATTTAAACAAATGAAATGGACATTAAAATAAAAATTTGGCATCTACTCTATTTTTCAACCAGACTTTGGAGAAGATTATTTAATTATGTTCATAACATAACAAAACATAACATAACATCACGCCTTTTTATACCCGAAGGGGTAGGCAGAGGTGCACATTTCGGCACTCAATGCCACTGTACAATGTAACACCCACTTTTCACTATTTATGTTATGAGTCCCATGTAATAGGGGGTGAGCCTATTGCCATATACCGGGCACATTTTTCCAGACTCCGTGCTACTACTGAGATTTTTAAAAACCCAGTAATACTTTGCCCGACCCGGGAATCGAACCCGAGACCCCTTGCCCGGCAGTCGCACTTGCGACCACTCGGCCAATGAGGCAGTCAATTATGTTCGTAGATGATATTTCTACCTAATACTACAATCCAATAGAATACCAGAGGTGCTCATTGCAAAATAATATAACGTATACGAGTCGATCCCCGAGTTTAAACTATGTGAATACTACAGCCTATCCTACTTATCTTCGAGACCGTTTCTCCTTGGTGCGCCCTCCTGAAGTCCTTACTCGTTCTCATCTTAAATCCTATCTTAAAATTGTGCCCCATAATACCGACTTCTACTCCTACTCCTTCTCCGTTCATGCAGTGAGACTATGGAACTCGCTCCCGCCGAACATTCGGGACGCCAAGTCTATCTCTATCTTTAAGAGACAAGTGAGAGAACATTATCTTTCCTATTGAAATATAGATTTGTTTTTCTGTATTTTTTTATATATGTATTATAATTGTATTATATTAATTTGTTTTATTGTTTATTATTGTTAATTCTATTGGTTTCTTCGGTCTTATTACTTTTTTTTTATTAATTGATTTTTATATTGTTTGTGTAACACACTATGTGTCTCAGTGTTGTTATTTCTTTTCCTGCCACAGGCCCACAGGAAGAAATTCCAGTTGGAATATGTGGGGCCTATGTACTCTGTTTTTTATTATGTATTGTCCTCTGTGTTGAATGTGTGTACATAAATTAATAAATAAATAAAATAAATAAATATGCTTGAGGTTAGTTTTTGGATGGGTGGCAATTTACTAACAAACTCCATTCCTAGTATGTACTGGTAGAAGGTAGTAGCGTTGTAGAGCAGAAGTAGGAAAGTAAAAAATGAGTTTTGCAATGTTTATTTCATAAATAAGGGAGATACAAATAAGATCAACGATTACTTAGATCAGGATCACTTTTTTGGAAATGTAATAGGCACTATGTCTTCGAAATCACAGACTTTTAACCTTATTCATAAAATTAAGTTTTATCCTGCAAAATAATAAGTATCCATAGAGAGGTGTCTTATTTATATTGAAAGGTGGGTCCAAAATTACCCATTACCCTTTATAAACTTTTAGAAAAGTAATAAATTTTCGTAGGATTCTAAATGAAAGATTAATTGT